CGATTGAATTACTTGCAGCTAGGTGAAGCTGTCGATGAAGCTCGAATAGAACGCATTGATCATTTGCATTTATCAATTCATTGACTGTTATGGGTCTCTAGCTATGTCTGCTCTTTTCATTCTTTCCTCCTCATTAGCATATGATTTGAGCTTTACGCGTGCACAAAGCTGTTATAACTCAAATTTCTCTTCCTGATTCTTTGCAAACTGAAGTTCAGGACGTGAAAAAAAAAAAAGTTTGGAAGGAGAAGACGAAGAACAAGACGCAGAAGAGGAGGAAGAAAGGAAGAAGTAAGCAATGTACGCGAATTGGCCTCATATAGTTGCAGAAAAAGACAGATTACGCAGTCAACTTCATCGTTCATGACAACAGCCAATGAGACTCAAAAGCATTTTTTGCACATTTTCTTTGAGTTTATTGGATTGCCTTAATCAGACATGCAGAGGCTCAAACCTCAAAGCCGAGATGGCTGAAAGTTGATTGTAAAACTTCGAAGAACAAAGCTTATGGCAGTTGAAGTTTCAAAGTGATTTAATGGGAAGTGGAGTGGTGGCGGGAGGAGAGGGGGATCATGGGAAGGAGAGAACGACAAGGAAAAGGACATAAACCAGATGTGTACCGGGAGGACAAGCTTTGCTGCTTTCACACTACAACATTCAATCCTAAACTTTTCATAAAAATGAAGTGACAAGAATGAGGAGAAGAAGAGCCCCTCGTACATTCTCCTTATTTGTCCATCATGAAGCTACAACTATATATGAAAGCATCTATCTGTTACTCATTTACTTTCCCTTCTATCCTCTTTCGTTCTCTTCTCCATCACTTCTCTCCTTCTCAATCTTTCATTTTTACTATCCTTTACTCTTCTCTCTTTCTCTCTCTCTATCTCCATTTCCCTCCCTCTCTTCTTCTTTCTTCCTCTCTCCCTCTTACTCTCTCAAATGTCAGATGTTTTATGATAATTGAAGAGAACAAAACGAATTTTCTCTGATTTTCTCATCATTTTCTTGTTTTTTTCCGAGCTTTTTCCTTCTTTATATTTCTTTAACTAAATTCCCTCTCTTCTCATGACTCTCATTCAGCCATGATCTCTCGTATTGTAAGTCTGTTTCTTATTTGAAACAACTGAGAAGAAGAGACAGAAAAAAAAAGAAGACAAGGAGAAGCCAAATGGAAAGATGATGATGAGCATGAATACTAGAAGAACTTTAAAATAAACTTCACTTCTTCATAATTCTCATTCATAGCTTTGTCTTCATAACGTCCCCACGTTCCTCTCTTCTCCTCTTTTTCGTTTTTTCACATCAAAATCAACAAGTAAGCAACGGAATGGTGTGAGATGAATAGCGGAAGCAACCAATTATGGACGAATAAGGTAAAAAGCTGACAAAAAAAAGAGACACCGAAAGAGAGACAGAGAGAGAGAGAGTGATGCAGAGAGAGACAGAGGGAAAAAACCTTCTTCTCTACTCATACAATGAGAGGAAAAGGAAAAACTACAAAAATCAAATGAAGCTTCAACATCTCCATAGATGTGAATGTCGTACTTTCAGCTGTATAACAACAACAGAGAAAAAAAAAGATTTTTCAATCAAAAGATCATTATGTGCGTCCAAATAAAGATAAAAGTCCCATATGTCATCAACTCTACTTTTGCATTAAAGCTTATAACATGCTACGCTATGCTATGCTATATAGTTAATGGAACGTACCTTTCGTGAAGAAGTTCTGGATTTTCGTGATGATGAACGAAACAGTGATGAGTTCCGGATTGAGCCGGATCGAAAAGATACTTTGGACCATGATGATTCGGGCATGATGATCTCAATGAGATTTCAGATGCGTTTTTGAGTTGAATATTGAAACATCTGTAATTACAAAATGAAATTGAAATTCTATGTAAACGATAAATTGAAGACGAAACAGGAAAAACGGTTAAGAACACCCAAATCAAACATCACAATCTTACTCATGAAAGTACAATAAATAAGGTAGAAATTGAAAACGACTAAGAAAGACAGAGAGAGAGAGAGTGTGTCAGAGAGAGCGAGAAAGAGAGAGAGAGAGAATAAAAAAAATAAAAAGAGTTATTAATGTAATATGCTTGATGATCGAACTCCAATTGGCTTACGTAAAGAAAAGTTCATGGTGAACACCATTGAAAGCATAGCTCAGGTTAATTGCCAAATATGGCTGTGAACAAATTGAAAAGAAGGTCACTAGCCATTGAGCAAGAGAATGCAAAGTCACACGCCTTGCTTCTAAGAAGATCAGCCAAGACTGCTGAAGAATTTAGGATAATTTGTATAAACAACATGATGCTTAGTTCGTAGAGGACAAAAAAGGTGATGTGCATTAACAATATATTGGAGTTGTGAGCAGAATAATATATGAAGGTTGAATAGAAAAAGAAAGAGAGAGAGAGGTAGAGAGTAAAAAAGATAGAGATAGATAGAGAGAGAAAGAGTGAACAAGAAGTGGTAGGTGAGATAGATAGAGAGAGAGAAAAAGAGAAAGAGAAAAAGAGATGAATAGAACACAACCGTTCTGTACGACACCATATATTTGAAATGGAAATCTCACGTCGGTGAAATCACGTAGAAAATCAGAATAAATTAAGGCTGACGTAACACGTTTTGAAGATGATATGAAAGTCAGATGAGTACGAAACAACTGATAAAAAAAAAGTAAAAAAGAAATTTGTATGAAGCACACGAAAATATAACAAAACGAAAAAAAAAAACAAAATAAAACAATGCAAATGGTACAGACGGCGGAAGGAGGGGGGGGAGAAAAAGAAAGTAATAAACGGGTTACGCCAAATATGGTTTGAAGTTTTTGAATTAAATTTCAAACAAGAGACGAGAGAGGGCGGAACAATTGATGAAATCAAAATGAAATGAACATAAAAGGTAAAGAAACAATTATAAATGATGGCGTTGAACGAGAATGCACTTTCAACTTTAACAAACCGAATGAAAAGAAAATAAATTGAAAGCAGTAAGCCAAGACGAATGCTGTGAGAAGCTTAATATGAACTTACTGATAAATAAGGATTGGAACAGAGAGATTGAGAGAAAGAATGAGGGAGGAAATGAAAAAAAAATGGAAAAATGCTTTTCGAAACTTCAAAAATCCTTTGTTTGAACTTGCTCCCTCCCTCTCTCCCTCTCTCTCTCTCTCTCTTCATCCAGTTAAGGCAACCACAACATATAAACTCACGTTCTGTGTGAGATGATGAATTTCTTTTTTATGAGAAAAAATGGAAGGCTTGTTCGAGCACTGAACTACACGAACTTTGTCTATGACGAAGAGAGAGAACGAAGAAGAGCTCAGTCGTCTTCTTCTTCTTTTCTTTTTCTTATTCTATTCGTCGTTGACGTCGTCGTCGTCGTCCTCGTCGTCATTATGCGTCTTCGCTCTGCGTTCTCTAAAGCAGAATTATTTTTTGTCTGTTTCTCTGCCATCTAAGAGCCCAACATAGTCTATGAAGCATTTCTTGAAAGAAGGAAACCTGGATCTGATCCCGCCCCTTCTATGAGATTGAGATAGAGAGCTACATAAACTTAGAAATTAGTCTAAAATAATAGTTTGAGGAAGTTAAATATACATTCTATATATATTAAAATAAACGTTGTTATATACCAATGAAGGACATTATAGTCATGGGAATCACGCATCCATCCTTGCCGCCTCAAGAACATCTGCGAGAAGAAAAAAGGAGGAAAAAGCTAAATAAGGAAATGATTGAAGCCATTGGCTCAATGAACACAAAACGAAAAGCTCGCAAGATACATCAGGAAAAATGTTCAAACTTGCCATGTTTCTACCTCATTAGCCACAGAGTTAGACAGGTTATATGTTCTCATTTTCGTGCAACTTTCAGCAATCACAATAGAATACGAATCAAATCATCTGCCCAGATGAAATGTGCAGCAAATGCTGGAATCAAACAAAACAAAACTCTCACTTCTTCATCAATACGTAAAATAATACATTTAAGACCTGTTTCCCCCCCCCCCTCCTCTCAGTCTGTTGTACCTCAGAAAAAAAAACTTCTATAAACAATGGCAATATCAATCGATAATGTAGCTATTCCTTATTTAGATATTGCGGTTATGGTGCAGTTTTTTTTGTGTGTTTGTGTATATGTGTTTCACACCAAATAACTACAATAGTTTCTGGTCCGAAAAAAGACAGCCTGCACAAGATCTGGAAGGAACTCACAACTCTGAGTTATGTGCACATAGCCATACCTCTCATGCAGTTTTTGCTCCGCTCACTCTTTTGTGTCAATTATGATTATTCTCTATCCCCACATGAGAGTTCTTTTGAAGTGTCAATGTTATGATATGGAACTGAAAAGCTTCACTTTGCTGGAAAGAATGACTATCGATTCATACAAACTCGCATACACACATACACACACACACAACCAAAATATTTATTAATACCATCTAAACGATAGTAATAATGATGTCTCTCTCTGTTCCCTCCTCTCCTCTCATCTCGCTACTCCAAATACCTGTAAGTTCCTTTGAACGAACCCGAAACTATGTTTTTCCTTCAACTTTCTTTCTTGCAAGTTCTTGATTTTTGTGTGTTCTTTTCAACTACAAAAAAGGCAATTTGAAGTCGTCGGCGGTTGTTCCTAGCAGAAGGAAAGGAACATACGACCTTTAACTGTTTACCCTTTACGAGCAAGAAAGAGAGTTCCGTTAGGGCAACCGTCAACACGCAATCTTTATCAGTTTAACATCGCTGTCATCTTTTTCGAATTTTCCAAATTGTCATTCTATAGGTTTGACATAAAAAAATTTTTTTTTTTGTTTTTTTATTTTCATTCGCTTCAGCCACCAATCTGATGTTTTCTTCCTCTTCAGTTTTTCTGCCCCCCCCCCCCCCACCTATGTGTATATACAGAAACATTTAAAAATTAAAGAAAAATTCAACTCGGAAGTTGGGAAATAGGGGTGTAGGTGGTTATTGACAGTAAAGCCTACATAGTTAAACAACCCGGCAGCATAGATTCTTCCAATAACTTCCAAACTTTTCCGTATCGGGCCAGAACACTAGAAATACATAACTCTTGTCCTTGATGTAACGATGGATGAAGTGGAACTAGCCAAGTTACGAATTGAACCTAGAAGATGCTATCAATACGGAGTGAAATGTTCAGAACTCTTCGTAACAACGATGAACTTCATGACGTGCAGTTAATGTCAGCGGAAGAAATATTTGTTTTTTTCCTTCTCCTGCAATGAAGGAGGCAATCTTGAGCTGAACTGCTTACTACAAAAACTTTTTTAACAGTAACTTTGAAAAATCTTTATTCTAGTTTTAGTTTCTGTCTGAGCTTCTCCTCAGCTTCCTCTATTTCTATCCGTTTTTGACTTGCTTCGATCACAAGATTTCTGAGCTTTGATAGGTGTCTTTTTGGATTATTTCGAATTTTCTCCAACATTTTCGGGTTCTTGTTAATAACCTCATCAACAATCTTTTCTATTTCTTCATTTTTTGTTATTTTCCAAAAGTTTTCCTCATTTATTACCTGAAAAAAAAATAATTGACCAAATTTGACGTCAGAACAAACTTCCAGCGTTTCTCGCATTTCAACTTCGTTCGCGTACGCCTTAATTAGCTCAATAGCTCGAAGTTGGGTAATTCTATTCGATTGCAATAATTCAATTACTTTCATGAATTGAGAAGCAAAAAACTTGCTGAAAATTTCATATAAAGAAATGCTCTTGTTGACGATAGGAACCTTTGAGGAGGATAAACAGCTTTCGATCTTTGCATCAGAATTTTCAGTTGTTTCAACCAATGAAGAAACACTTCGGGTTGAACTTCCAAAAAAGGTGAACAGTTGGAAGCGAAGTTGGATAAAAGTGGATTCTCCTGCAAATATATAGAAAAGTGGAATAACGAAACATTCTGCAAACTGCGAAATGGATGGCTGATCGTGGGTCAAAGCCTTGGTCGATAAACTTTTGATATGAAGGCTTGTCGTACGAATCAAATTTACATTTTTGAATATGTTCGCGTGAAATCTGAAAACATGAGGGTTCTTTTCACAATGAAATAATCGGAAATCACATGTACAGTAGGGATGTTAGGTTCAGCCATAAATCTATAATCAACATCTCCTTCTTTTTCTCTCATAGACACAGTTCGACTGAAAGTTCGCATTCTCAATTGTTTTCCAGAAAAATTTGTACCCATGAGAATCACAAGCTCTTGTCTCATACTCTACAATTCCACCTTTCGATAAAATATGGTACTGTCTGTTAATTTCATAGTCAATAGCTGACTGGAGATGACGGATGCTGTTCATGTTTTTCACCTGAAAATGGATGTACACTACTCATGAAACTCATGAACCATGTTTACCTCGCATCGTACCCCATTTTTCCCATCATTAAAGAGAGAAATATTAGCGTCCACTCTAATGTGCCCTTCTACAAACGTCTTCAAATTAGGGAAAACAAGGATTTAAAACAAAACTAACTATGAAGTTCTCCTTCACAGATCTCGAAATGCATGAGCAGCAGCCTCAACTGTTGGATGAAACAGACGGCTTCGATAGAGCTACAAATGGTTGGTGCAGTGACAACTTCTACTAAAGGAGCTCCAGCTCTATTCAAATCAATCAGCGAGATATTCCCCTCATGAATGGTTTTTCCACTGTCCTGTTCTAATTGGAGTTGAATAATATCAACTTCTTTCCAATAAGGGTCAAGACCATCGTCATAAACATGAAACCCAAACTTTCCATTTTTTGCGATTGGATACTGCATCTGAGTTATTTGATATCTAATTAGGCAGATTTTATACGACGTTAAGTGTCTAGATTTCTTACCCAGCGGGCATATCGGCGTAGAAATAATGTTTTCTGTCAAATCTGCATCTTGCTGGTATCTCGCAGTTCATTAACAAACCCAGTCTTAGGGCATGCTGCAAATATCTCACGTTCAAAGATTGGAAGATTGGAAAACATCTGGGTTTTTAAGTACGGGCCAATCGATGTACTTGCACGTTTTTCACGTGAAAGTGCATGTGTTTCAAGTGCAGGGAGTTCACTTGAGTTACATGGGAGAACTAAACTATTAATGGAAGTGAGACAATCAGTTCAAAGCGAGTGCAGAAAGAGAAACTTACAAAAACAGCAGCTTTGTTGAGTAATGGCAAGGTGCCTGGTTCAGCCATATCAAAAGGTGCAACTCGAGAGTTGGGCCCACCATCTTCTCCTATGGGAGCTCTAGAGAATAATTTTGTTTTGGTTTTAAGCTGTACGTGAACCTGCAAACAAACTTCCGCAAAAACAGTAATTTCAAGTAACCTCTAGACCTATCACAGGAGTAAAATCCTCTCTTGGTCTTAAAACCGCTGCCTGAGAGAAACATCTCGCACCCACCCTTCTAACTACTAACATCTAGAAGCGGTAAAGTAGTGAGAGATACGCATGTTCCAAATAGTTTGTGGAAAATCCAACAGTTAATAGAAAAGAGACAGTCGATAATGATTTAATTACCCCGATTCATAAATTGAAACAACTTTAACAAAACCCTTACAAGGATAATCAACAACAAACAACATTCTATAAATTTTCAAAAAAATCTAAAAATAAGTATCTAAAAATCTTTAAACGCTGAGAATGCTATGGAGAGCTTCCAAATGGGTGTCTCCGTTCTTGATAACTCGTTGTAGACATGGAAGGCATTCATTAAGAACACCAGCAGCAGGTCCTTCAAGGGTATCGGCATACTTCTGCAACAAATTAATTAATATAAGGCTACAGGAAAGTCATCACTCACCTTGAAGAACTCTTCACCCTGCTTCAGATTGAGAGCATAGAGTAAAGCGAGCTCAGAAGCTGATCTCACTGCCGAATTACTTTCTTTCGATCCATTGACCAATTGAGGTACAATTGTCTACAAATGGGTTTTAAAAGGTCATGTTTTTTGTATTACCTTCAAATATTCTGTCTTGAAATTGCCTTCTCTTTCTGCGAATACATGGCCTAAAGCGATAGCAGCAATTTTTCGGACATCCACAACTTGATGGTTGATGGCCTTTGAGAAAGATGACAACAAATCTTTGTCTGGGTTTTCACCCTGGCTGAAGAAAAACAGATTTCACAAAGCAACTGAAACCCGTGCTCACCTAATAAGGAAGCTGGCAGCAGCCTTGATAGAGGAACTAGCCGTTGATGTATCGGCTTGGAAGGCAGAAACGAGAGCGTTACGAACCGAAGGATATTTTTCCCAAACGATCGCAGGATCGCTCTGAAAACAGTAGAGGGTATAAAGAAAGTTTTTGTTATACTAACAATGCTCATTTGCTCCAAAGCAACAGCTAAAGCCTGACGACTTCTTAGCTTGGATGACGATGCGACTTCTGCAAAAGTCCATGACCAATATGAACTCATATAGAAAAACCTGATAGAATGTGCTCAATTGCAGTCGGATCATCAGCTCTCAGAGCGAGTTCTCCGTAGAGAGCTCCCGACAATATAGTCAAACTATTATCGAGTTCGGATGGGTTTTCAATAGCAGTCTACAACGAAGCGTGAAAAAACAAAGGAGTTTAGTATACTTACATTGAAAATGCTAGAGCATCCCTTCAATCCCAGTTCTATTATGGGTGGGGTAAGTTTCTTGGCTGCCGGGGCAATTAAACTACGGGCAGCTACGAGTGTGGTTTCTCTGAAATGTAAAACAATACAAGGCTCAAAACAATGGAATATGCTTACGTCAGCATTGGATCTTGACTCTTGCTGATGTGTGTTAGGAGATCATTCACCACAACTTCTGGTTTCATGTGAATGTTAATGAGCTGCGCAAGAGCTCCTAAGACAAGAAAATTGGAAAACAAAAACGTAGTTCTGCCCACCTGCAGCAGCTAATCTGATTGGTCGTGAGGAAGTATCTTGAAGAGATTTAATAAAAGTGGATAGAAGTTGGGGAATGAAAGGACGAAGCAAACTGCCAACTTTGGACAAAAGTTTTGTGAGGCATTCAAGCATTGGAAGTTTAACAGAAGCGGGGTATCTGTCTCCCAACACTCTGATCAAAGGACCAGTAAGTCCTACAACATGAGGCTTCAAAGCGTCCTCATTCGCAACAGTGATAATTTGACTGAAAGTTTCTCCAGCCAAAGCCTTAATTTCAACTCCACCTAAAGAGCAAGTTTATATCGGCTGATATAGGAATTAGTCACCTTGAAGAACTCCTTCTTTGAGGATACTAGATAAGGGATTAATAGCTTTAGAGTGCATGAATCCTGGGATACTCGCGCCCTTACTCTGAGACATGATGAAGCGGATAGTTTTTTTGATACTTGGCAGCATATTCTGAAGAGAAAAAGCAAAATATATAACATAATGATGATGAACATACAATCATATCTCGTAAATCGACTCCTTGAGCGATTCTAATGGCAGCGTGAATAACATGATCAACGATCTGAGGATTTGTGGAAGAGTACAGATGAAGAAGACCAATGAGGAGTTCTTCCGCTCGTTCAGAAAGATCAACCTAAATTCCAATATGAAAATTCTAAAAATGCTGCCTTTCACTCACTCCACTCTTATCGACAAATGTATGGAAGAGAACAATAGCTGGTACATTTCCTTTGGCGGCTTTGTCGAGAAGATATTCGGCCAAAACAGGTACACCCTCTTCATCGGTAACAGCGATAACAACCTTTTCACACCGATCAATCATCTAAACATAGGATATATACTCTTAGTTGAGAGAAATTCTTACTGGATCGTATTGGTCGTTGTTAACACAGGCTGCCAGTAAAGCATCCAAAACTCTTGGAAGTTGTCGACTAAGAGTATCCCCTGCTACAGCTGCGAGACTACACAAAGCATGAGCGTTGATGGGAGGCTTCGTTAAGCGTGGCAGAAGATATGGAAGCATTTGTCTGAGGAGTAGAGGTAATGAGGCTTAGAATTCAAAAAATACCTGCTGTTTTTCTTCATAACTTCACAAAGACCATCCAAAATATGATCTTGCTCAGGTGTGAGCTGCTCCAAGAGTGGAGTAATAATCTCATCCAAGGCAGCATGACCAACAGTCTGTAAATTACTTCAGTCCAGTGACTTTTATATTCCACTCACATGGTAAAGAACAGAGAAAGTACTCGCGGCTGCTCGACGAACTTCAACTTCTTCGTCACAAATGCAGTTTCTTACTGAAGGAACCAGATTGGAGAGATAATGATTCAATACATCCTAAAGAACTACGATGTGGAATAAAAACGAGTGAGGCACAACCTTGGACATATTGTAAATGATCTCATAAAGGGCCAATGCCACTCCAACTCTTTTTTCAACTTCCTCTGAGTTCTGGTTAACTTCCAGAACAGGGAGAATCTCACTGATAACTTTTTCGCCCATCTTTCTAACCAGCTCTCCTAAACAACGAGCACCCATTTGTTGACGGTCCTCTGAGGCTGATGCCAATGCGTCGACAACCTTAACAAAAATGAAAATATCGGAAAAGGAAGTGTCCTACCATTTCGAACAGTGTTTTCAAAACTTCCTTCAAAGTTCTTGGAGTATTTGAAACGACAATCTTCCACACATGGCCAGCAGATTGACGAACAGTAAGAGATACATCAGATCTAAATCGAAATGTTTGCAGTACTTCCCGACTATTTTACCTAGCCAAATATAATCCAGCGATAACTTTGTCGCGACATTGCTGTCCAAGTGCGCGCACAATAGTTTTTCCAGCTTGTTCCATTCCCATAGTATCGTCTTCGTTAGCTGTAGCAGTAGAGGATTTTCCAGTGACTCCTTAAATTCAATAATTAATAAATGTAGAACCAATGAACAATTAACCAGTAATGTTGAAAAGGAAATCTCCAATAAGTTGGACAGCAGCATATCTGATACGCCAATTATCATCACATAGAGCAACTTGAAGCTGTGGAAGAAGTAAACGACGTGCTTGCGAGCAATATTGAGAAATGAGACGTTGACCGGCTTTCAATGCAGAAGCGCGAACATATCTGGCGTTAAGAGAGATGAATGGATAAGATAGCTGAAAGCTTACTCGTTCTCATCAGCCAAAGCCTTGAGAATGGGAGGAACAACTTTAGGAAGATAAGGTAAGAACTTATCCTTGAACACCATTGGAAGATAGATATACATAAGAATGTACCCATCACGAGTCTCCGCAGTAACCTAAAAGCCCTCTGAGTAACGAATAAATCTGAATTGTACCTCTGTGCTTTCAGTAGCTTCAATAATCTCTGGCATAACATAGTCGAGTTGATCTGTTCCCACACCAGCCAAAACTTCAGCAAGACCTTGAGCAGCTCCAGAACGATCAACAGTGGATTGAGGACAAACCTGTAGAAGAATGCAATAATGATACAAGTATATGCTTTTATCACTTACCAATTTATCCTTGAGCCAAGGTATAATTGTTGTGCGGAGACGCTCATTGGTAGCTCCTGTAGATTTCGATACAATGGCTCCAAGAGCTTTGGCAGCCACAGAACGAATCTCAGGCACGGGATCCAAGATGGATTTTTGCAAACCTGGGACTAAATCGGTCAAATATGGTTCCATATCCTGCAAGACCCATAATTGTATTGAAATTACGCAGTAAATATAACCTTATGATCAGTAAGATTGTAGATGTTAGCAATAATTTGAGCTGCAAATCTTCTTGTTTCACTGTTTCTATCTTCGAATGCTCTTTTAGCAATTGGCATAAGAAGCGCAAGAGAAGCAGCATCAATGTAATGGATGAACTTAGTGTTCAGAACAGCCTGAATTCATATATTTAAAACGAAAAACTATTATTTCCACAGTACCTGCAAGGCAATGCTGGTTTTATTCGCGGGATCAAGTAGTCCCAACATGATATGATTAGTGACACCGAGAATTTCAGGATTACGAATAACACGAGCAATGTTTCTGAGAGCTTTCTCACCACTCTTTTGAACCTAAAAGTGCCTAGTTAGCTATTGAGAAATTGGTGGTCAACCTTAGAAGAAGAGTCGGCTAATACTTCAATAAGCTTTGGTACAATACTTGGGAGACACGATGAAAGTTGTTTAGGTGCCAAGAAGGCCATATTTCCAAGGAGCTCAGTCTAGAAAAATAGAAGAGAATCCACACGTTTCTGTTTTTGCAATACCGCAGCACATTTTGTTCTCCAAGAATCATCATCAAGAGCCTTTGTTAACATAGGAAGGATCAGTTTAGTTCCGAAACGAGACATGACAGACATCATAGCTTTAGCAGTGTCTTCAGCTGCTCTCCTCACATTCTCATCATTATCTCCGTAACACAGAAGAAGGTTTGGAAGTACTTTCACCATGAAAGGCTCAGCAGGTACTCCGCAAGATCTGCGCGAAAAAGATAGATGATGAAGTAAATGATTTGCTTACGTGCACAGAATTTCGAGAATGAGCAAACTTCCTTCTCTGGACTTCCAGTTCTTTTTATCCGTGATTGCTGTGAATGTCGCAGGAATGAGATCAGTACTCTAGAAATTGAAAAATTTTCTAAGAACTGAGCAGTCGCAATTTACATCGATCGAGTAGAGACCCGCTCCCTTGATAAGTCCACCAATACCATAGGCAGCTCCTCTTCTCTCTCCGTAAGTTTCTGCATTCATAGCCAAATACTGAAGCTTCGATACAATTTTCTTGTAATCATCTCTGATAGCGGGTACGAGATGAGACAAACATTTGGAAACCGATTCTTGCACCTAATTGAGGAAGTTTACCAGATCTAATCTTGAAAACAAAAAAAACATACAACTTGACTGGGTGTATTGAGAACTTCCAGAAGTCTGCCAACAATGGCTTTGACTTTCACGGAAGAAGGTTCCAAGAATTGGGCTGCAGTTCCAAGCAATACGACAAGTCCTTCTCTCATATTATCATGCTCAGCCCCGGAAGGGGTGTTATCAGACATTTCCTCTACACAATAGACATAAGATAAATTATTAATTAAAAAAAAACCTAAGTAAGGCAGAAGAGTGGGAAGAAGATAGTTTCCGTGACGACGAATGGTTTCAACGGCAGCATCAGTCATGGCATATCTGCATGCAGTTTTGGTATCGGTTAACGCCATAGGAGCAACCTAGTTGTAAGAAATGAAAAAAATAAAGAGCCTTTCGAAACTAAACTTACGATTCTGACAAGTTTTTCAGCCAAGTTTTCAGGGACTAGACGAGCAACAAACTCTAAGGTCTCTCCAACTCCGCTTCTGCAATTCAAAACGTCAGTGTTGAAGGAGGAAACATCACAACCTTCTTTCCCATTCATCGACAGAGCCTCTCTGCATTCTTCCAACTTCATCATAAATGGCTTCTCTAACTTGGAATAGATCACGATAATTATCTTCGAGCTTCTGTAGAACAGTTTCAGTTTCATCTGGCAATTCTTCCAAATATTCGAACACTGCTTTAGCAGCTGAGCTTCTGATGAATGAAATAGGTGAAACACATTCATCTGAAATTATGGAAACATACAAGAATCTTTCATATTTTTCAAACCGATAAGAGGGAGACCCATTGTAGGACGAAGGTTGAACTTAGAGTTCAGCCAAAGATTAGCTGCACATTCAGAAACTTCGTTGACATCGTCGAATTTGGCAATAAAGATTCGATTCAAACAATTAATAGCAAAAGTTTCGTTTTCAGATTCAAGAACGAGTCTAGTCAACAAGTTAGGAGCAGACAAAAGCTTAAAAAAATAACATTGTACAGCTTTTCGAATGAATCGAGTTACCTTCAACACATTGCCACGAACATCGGGATTGAAATCGAGAAGATAGTTCAAAGCTCCTTGGACCAAAGCTACAACTCGAGGACCATAATCTTCAGACTCATTTGCCAAGCTAACAACTTGAGTTAAGGCTTTCAGACAAACTGGTGTCAAATTTTTAGAATAATAACCAAGAAGCAGGTCAGCATATTCTAGCATGGGCAACTCGAGGACTGCATCGTCCTGTAATCAAGAATGAAACATAGCAAAAGTGAAAGTTTGTTTCCAGTACCTTCAAGAACCGACGATGGAAAGCATTCTGGAGCAGCGTAAGAACTGCTTCTTTCAGATCATCAGTGAAATCACCATGAAGAAGAGTTTTTACAAGCGGGTAAAGGAATGTGAGTTGTGGAGCTCCGACGATTTCGTCAAAAATCTCAAAGTCACCCTGAAATTCAAAAATATAGCTCAACAAAACTTAGAGAAACATACATCATCATCGTCATCTCCAGTGTCGACAATGAAGGCTCTTTCGTTGAGAAGACTGAAACATCTTTTGAGAGAATCATCCATGTCACTACTGATCCAAGTATTGTCATAAGTGTGACTTCCATTCACTTTGAGCCAACAGTTTCCGAGTAGATCTCCAAGATAATCTTCCGACTCTGGGAAAGCTACGTCGCGATATGCATTGAACAATCTCGTGGCCTCTTTGGTCAAAAGGAAAGTTTTGGTTAAAGGTTGGCATACATCAAACAGAATGGATGATCTAAAACGAACAAAACATTGATTGATTTACTTTCATCAGAGAGAAACCTGTGGAAAGCTTCAGCGTGATCTGCTTGTACCAAAGCCTTCGCAAGATCTAAGATAGGCTCAGCAGATTTATAAAGAGCATCTATCTCTTCGCGGACAGCCTACATTAAACTGCTTAGAAAACATTACTATTACGGTTGCTACCTTCTCGCTGGCCAACTCTTTTTCCATGACCTGCTTCTGTTTCGCAGTTAGCTTTCCTTCTTTTCGTTTTTTTTCTGCCAGTTCTCTTCTCAACTGCATCTCAGCCACTTGCTCCTTATGACTCAATCCCTTATTTTCTCTTCTGGTATTGTGGTTCATTTCTCCTTCATCACTGGAAGATTAGAGAAAAAGAAGTAGGTATAAAACGTTTTTCGTAAACGTACAACTCCAGCGCCTCTGTATTGTACAGTTGTCCGTCAGGACACTTCCAGATGTTCACATTCTTCTCCGTAAGTTGCATATATTCGTCTATTTCGATGCTTCTGAGCTTCTTTTCTATATCATCCCATAGCTTATTTCTGATCTCAGGAATATTCAGGGCGAACAAAGAGTTCAAAGCATTATCTCTTGAATGAAAAAAAGTGAAATCAGATGACCTATTGATTACCTTATCTGTCTTTCCTGGCAAGAAAGCACAACTTCAAGAATTTGATCGCGGAACTGCTTAGAGGAATGCCAAAGATTTCTATCCAAATCGTGGATCCAACGAAGCCAGACAGAACCATCAACCACAACTGAAGGTGGAGACGGTAAAGGAAAACTTAATTTGTGATACCTAATTTGGGATGAGCGGAGAAGAGTAAAGTATGTATAGCCAAATCAGTCAAATCTCCTGTTTCTGTAGAGAGAATCAAACGGAGAGCCTATTAAAAGTTTTGGAAATTGAGATCGAACAGCCAATCTGAACTTACAAGAACATACCACTCTCCAGGAGGAGTCCATTCGGGTTTGCTCTTAACCTCGGTAATCTTGCGAAGATTCTGATCGTTGAATTGTAATAGGTGTAAACAGAATCAAACTCACTTGGATAAGAGTTTCTTTAACAATATCAGAGAACATAGACTTGATAAAAGCAATTGAGAACTTAGCACCTTCGACTTTGATTATTCTCTCGAGCGCTAAACTTGCTCGCTTCCTAACTTCCCAATTGGGCCAGAAAAGAAGAAGCGTCAATGCTTGCAAAACAGTAACAGGGAAATCATTCTGAACAAGAAAATTCTGATTAAAAAAATGACTTTTTCTTACTTCAGATACAGGCCGGTCAAGAATTAATCTTTCACACAACTCTCCCCAAAGAATACCATCTTTGTGGTTCATAGAGGAGAGAGATTTGTCTTTGAACAACTGATCGTTCTTCGTGATTTTCTCCCAAACATTCTTCAAGTTAGCAGATTCCCTCTCACTAGTTTTGATCAAAACAGTTGAAAGACCGATGGCATCCAAGGCTTCTTTCTGGGCGTTTTGTAACTCACTCCACAGCACCTTCTCCGAATCTGCTGGCAAAGTAGTAAGATTTCCTGAAGGGCATATTTCGTTCATTCCAAAATAAAGAGCTTACTAGCTGAGAGAATCTTAGCTATGGCCCTGTAACCAACAGATCTAACAGCAATATTTAACTTAGGGGCTTCCTGAAAGTAGAAAACTTAAGAAAAAAAGAGAAAGAAAAAGCGAACATTGAAAGCGTTAGAAAGTTGAGGAGATGTCTCTGTCAAGCGATTCGCCCAAGCAACGGCAACTTCCCATTGAGCCGAAACAGTTCCTTCATGTGCTACAAAGTGAAGAAATAAAACATAGTATCTGATAATATAAACATACTGCATTTGTCAGTTTTGGCTGTTTTCGATATGATATCATTTGCAACTTTGTCTAGTTCACTCGACGAAGGAGATTTGGTCAAAGAACACCTAGCAATACCGTTGAAGTAACAAATTCTTTGCTCAGCAGATTTGGCCACTGAAATTCAGAAACTTGATCACAGTTGATGGATGTAAACGAACTAGTGATATGATCGAACAAACGATTAACAATTTTTTGAGTAGCTGCGGGAGACGATGAAGTTGCCAACTGTACTAGAGCCTCAACAGCATTTTCCATGAGCTCCTCATTTGTTGAAGCCAAATACGCTTGAATCGAGGTAACATAAGATCAGAAAAAAACTAGAAACATACATGATATGTTTTTGACAAGATCGTCAGCATACGAATCTAAGGGAAACGATACGTTCTGTAAAACGCAAACAATTGCTGAAAAAGTAGAATTAATAGCTTAACAGAATGGGAAGCTTACCGGACATAGTCAACTCAGGACTACGGAGTAAAGATTTTTTAACGTTTGGTAACAAGTCATTCTCGAATACTTGAACAGTTAACAAAGGAATGAATGAAGCACAACGATCCTGTAATTAAACCAGTTGGAATCTCATGTAAACAGAACTTACAATAACAAACTGAGTTGGTTTTGTATTGGTGATTAGACAACTTTTAGAGTATATTTCAACAAAAACGGAAGAAAGTGCCGGAATCTGGAAAACGTCTTACGTGTTAGCATAAAGAGAAGAAAGCTCACATTAAATGCAACGATGAGACACAAAAGCTTCTCAGCGTTAACACCCTCTTTGAACAAACTTAATAAAGACTCTTTAATAAATTCTTCAGAAAAACATTCAGCAGAGCGGGATAACCGTTCAGAGAACAGTTTGAATGTCTTAGGAGAAACAGCAGAATAGTAACTCAGTGATGCAAATGCCGACAGCTGCAAGTCGGTTCAGATGAGAAACTTTTTCTTGACTCACCACTGCATGTTTCTTAGCCGAATCCTTCGTTAAAATGCTCAATAGCCATTTATGAGGATGAATAGCTGTTTTAGCTCTACTCAATCTTGAAAAAAAATTAAATCTGAAAATAACTTCAAACTAACGTCAAGTTTGGGAGAACGGGGAACAGGGATACAATACTCTCCGACAGGTACTCGATAGTAGCCATGACGGATCTTCGGGATCTCGTCCTCGGGCAACTCGTACTAACCCTTAACGACTCAGTTCAACTTGATGTTCAAATCTTACAATGCTCAAGAGTTCTATTGGGTGGGAGAGTAAATATTTATTGCAGAGACATAAGAACGAGAGAAAACAGAATGAAAAACGAAAATGCTTGGATGGAAAAGCCACCCATTGCATAACCCAAAAAACGATAGCGAATAAACAAATAAGAAGAATATGGAATAATTCAGAGCCGCATCTTCTCCTACACAGGTCTGCACTGCTACGAGCCCCTAACAGTGTTAAACAGCATGCATGAGGCCACGCCCACTAAATATTATCTGGTAGAGGTAGCTAGAGCGACAGCCTGTGAATCGTGTTTGGCCAAACTTTGAAGCAATCGAGATACAAGCTAAAAAAGTCCATGACATGAAAACTTCTCTCTTCAACTTACTTGGAAAGATTTAGGCTGATTGTACCTACGAACGGCAACACTTGTAACTAGCTTAACAAGTCCTTTGAGATAAGGTTCCGGAATTTCTGAACCTCGAAAATTGCATGAAACGTATAGTTCTAGAATGTCTCACCTGGTGTTCTTTCAACTGCTTTTGTCAAAGCTGTTAGAATCATATCGTGATTCTTAACACTAGAATTCAATGAATTCAATGAGAACTTTCTGATTTCATCTTTTAAAATATCCAGCTGGAAGATTCAAAACAGTTAAAAATTACTCTCGGGCGCCGAATGAATTTTCAGTCGACTTTGATCTAATTGAACATTTCCCCAAAGGTTGATGAGTTCAAGCTTTCTTTTGACTCAGAGTTTTTCATCAATCCGTCAAAGAAATTAGATTCCGAAAACGTCAGGTTCAAAAGCTCATGAGCAAGTACAAACAGATTTCGATCGACTCGATGCGACTTGACATCGACAGAAACTGTGAAACTTTTAATTTTGAAAGATCGAACTAAAAATGGCAGAAAAATGAACATGTGTCTGGTAAAATATGAATTTATGTTAAGTTTTGATCACCTCGCTCTTATCTTCAGTGATTTGCTCGGTAGCTTGGCTTTCAACTTCTTTGATTTGCTCGGTAGCTTGGCTATCAACTTCCTGAACTTGCTCTGCCTCCGACATTGGTTACTGTCCTGTAATAATTCATTATTAATTTACATTTTTCATATGAGATCAGAAACGAGAACTAAGACGGCCAATAAGTTTCATAGTTTTCACTGTATCACATGAAATTTTTTCAAAAAATATACATAAGTAACGGATTGATTTTATTGTTTTTTCATCCAACTAAGAAAAATTTAGGAACTATTCCGTCGGATTCGGTTTAAATGAGCATCGGAATATTTGGAAGTGATTTCGAGACTGTAATAGTGTTTGCATCATGAGAAAAAACCTTTCAGGGTTCAAAAACTTGAGATAACAGGGGGAGACTTATAAATTTTTCAAAATGTTAAACAATGAATTCTTTACAATACGAAAAGATGAATTAAATGCAACTACAAGAGAACTGAAACTAGTCGGGAACATTCAGAAGCATTCGAGTGATGGCTTACACAGCTCGATGATCAGTGGAGTTATTGAAATCAGAATATCTTCAAATTTAAATTATACCGGATCTCTGTAGACCAGATAACGGCTTAAGTTTAATGGGTTATACTTCAGCGCATTGCTGTTATAAGGCTATCAGAATTAACAGCGGTCGCCCAATTGCGTATTTTGCGACTTCAACTTGGAGTCTCCAAGTTGATTTTTCACGAGAAAATGAAAGAAACTGATGTGTTTTTTCTGTTCCCAACTATATGTTTCGCACTTAATCTCTACTCTTCAACCATTATAGCAAAGACATTGTAATAATAAATGCAGAGCAACGTAAAAACAGGCACGGTTCCAAAACTGAACAAAGGTTTACGAAGTACTCTTACTTTCTAACAGTGGAGATTATTGGAGCTTTCAAAAAAACGTAGCAGGAATGAATGAATAGTTCCATGTGGCAATCTTAATCAATGCATGATTTTTCGGATAAATGCGTTGGTAGCGGAATCTTGGAGATGTGCTCACGGCAGTGCAACTCAGGAAAACTTGCTTTTCAAAGTTTTACTCATGTCCATAATGGTTTGATGCGACCCCTGATGTCATTTTTGATTTGCGCATAACAGAGAGCGGTTGCGCGGGATTGCACAACATCATGAAACATCTTTTCATCGTGAAGAAAAACAGTAATATGATTATTTGCAAATATTTACTGGAATAACAGTACGAATAACGATTACCAAGTTTTCAATCAATCAGATCTTTCTGCTCAAAAAACACGCCAACAATGGCAACGAAGTAGGATATTTCACTTATTTCGTCCAGTTTTTCACTATCAATTTCGGCCCGTAAAGCTTTGCACATTTTGGCGAGATCTCTCAATGAGGCTACCACATCATGAAGAAGCTGAAACATGGGTTTTTTGAGTTGGAAACTCAACACATACCGGTAATTCAACAGCTATCATTAAAGCAAACAACCATTCTCTTAGGGGACGTGTAAGGCTCTCCGTATTCGCCCACTCGACTATATAGGAAATAAGAGCATTGACCTGGATTTAAATGAAAAAAACATTGTGTTTCATCAACTTAAAGCTACTTGTGGTGAATTTAATCCGCATATCAAAGACAGTGCTGGCGGCGTACAGATATGGTTGGGAAATTGACTTAGTTTACTGCTTAATGCCGGATGACATTTCTCGAGAATTAAGTCTCTCCATTTTTCCTCCGAGTCTGGACTTGGATATTTCATTTGTAATTTCTTGACTGTTGGTTTCATTTCCCAATATTGAGCTCTTTTTATAGAAAAATCATCTGCCTTCGACTTCTGCCATTCATAATTTTGTCGTTTCGAATCATCTGGAGTCTATAAAATATATGTTTCAGACAGTTTTTCCTGGAGGAAAAACTTTTTTTCTTTCAGGAACAGGATCATTCTGCTTTTCTACATCAACATTGACTCGCACAACTTGAGGACATTTATTTCTAGAGACCATAACCTGAACATATATCCTAATCAGATTTCTAAACAAGGAACATACTTGTTGTAGATACTGTTCTGCAGACTGTGGTGCAATGGAACAATCTACTGATGTTTCATCGAAGTTACCAATTTCGATAAACTGTCCTCGATCCATTGGAGAAACTAAAAAACTGATTGAATAAAAAGCCTACCAAGACTTTTAAAGGAATATTGAGATCGAAATAAACCATCGAAGCAAGAACTCATTTGAATAATGAACTGAAAAATGTACTAAAGACTTTATTTTCGAAAAAAATACACTTGATGGTTAATAATTTATCAAAATCGAGTCGTTCCAAGTTTTCAAACGTAACTAATACCGAAAGAGCATTCAACTCTGGATACCATAACCTGAACAAATAAGTTCTCTCACTCTTAGGATAAGCACATGTATCGCTCTACGGAATGTTGGGGAATATCGAGGTCAAAATAAACCATAGAAGTGAAAACTCGTACGAATTACGATCTAAGAAATGCACAAAAAATTTTATTATTGAAAAATACATTTAATAGTTAATAAGTTATCTATATACCTACTATACATCACAGATTACAGGCAATTATACAAATTGGCACATAGAACTACCAACATTTTCACAACGCCACTAGAGCACTCTCTTTGTATGGAGAGATGCACTCCCACCCTAGTAGTAAAAGATCAGAATTTAATTTGGATTAAAGCGGAAAAATTCTAGTAATTCCAAATTAGCTTACACAAAAATATTCTCATTGCCCAGCATGAATTTTTACAATCAGATTGAGTAACTAATCTGTTATGAGTATTTGTTTCAAAACCCTGAAGGAAATACAATTGGTATGGCCGAAAATGGTAAAAGTGGAGTGGATCGATCCAGGTTTGCAGCTGTAGCTAACGACTCAGAAGCTTCTTTCATCAACCCTCGTCTCATCTGACAACAACCTAGTTGTTGCCAACCATCGCAGTTCATTGGATCTACTCGAACCAATTCTCTGAATTTGCATAATGAGACTGCATTAAATATTTTTTCATTTTTCATTTTTCGTTGACTGCGAACGGTTGTACATTCAACAAATTCCCGAAATTAGAATGAATGAGCAGTTCGATAGTCTCTTCTTGCTCGTATTAATATTTCTCTCACCTGTACAATTGTTCAGCCATTTTATGATTATCTTCTCTCTCATACAAAACTGCTAGATGTTGTAGGCTGGAACCATGAGATGGTGACAATGCAAGTGCTGACAAATAGGCTGCCTTAAAAAATCAGTATAGAAATCAGTGAAGACGAGAGAGATATTACTTTTGCTTCTGCTCGTAATCGAGATGCTATATGTTCATCATCACTGTTGTCTGCACGAACCGAGAAAAGTCTACCCTGAAACACTCGTCTGGTTGAAGAGCAATTTGGATAAAAGATGATATACTTTCAAATACAAAACTTGGTAGGAATGTGGGAACAAAGCAACAGCTTGTTCGACGCATGGCCCAACATCCGAGACTCTATTCTGAGAAAGAAACAGCTCTGCTAACGCCATCCACATATTTGCCTATAAAAAACTACTAGTGGAGTTAAAATTTTTCAATTTACCTGAGCTCTGAATCTAGACCATGTGAAACCATTACCTAAACCTCCTATGACCGAATCGCTATTACTGGATTGGCCGCCAACTTCTGATTGAGCTACTCCGCTATCCGCTGAACGAATGTTGATAAACTGTTATTGCGCGTTTCACATACCGGAAATGTCAAGTCCAACTTGGCTACTAGCAGTACCTAACACGCTGGCTGTATACGGTAAGCTGATTGAAGTAGGGTGGTGAGAACCAGCAACACTAGGCTCTTTTCCTCCGACTGGAGTTGCCGCTTTAGTGCCAATTAGATTGGCAGCCTCAGTTGCATTCAAAGTTGTTTGGACTTTATCTTCATCATAAAAAGATGATTCTTTTTTCTTCCAGAACTCTAATAACGCGGTGCATGTTTCCAAAGATTCATCCACTCTCCCAAACTTGATCTCAATGTGTAAACGGAGCACTAGTAGACCATAGTGACTCGGGAAATCTTTTAGGGCATTAGCCACCAACTCTAAGGCTCCCTAGAAAGCAATCATGCAATTCTGCAATTCGCATAGTAACTACCTTCAAGTCTCCAGCAGCAGTGAAAATGAGAGCGAGGAGCATTATTGCTGACGGTTGGTCAGGGTTACGTTCAAGAGAACGAGCACAACGATCACGAGCGCCATCTAGATCGCGTACTGAAAAAATAGAAGAAGAATTAGTCTAAAGCTTGATTTAAATTTACCGATTGCATGGTACAGGGCGCAATAATAAAGACTTAGATAGTCATGAGGATCCTCATTGACGCATTCTTCGAACATGGTTACAGCTTTCAACAACCCTTTTCGTTTGTCTTCCCAGCAAACTTCGTTCTGAGCTTTGAGGCTGAAATTTTCAGTTGATTCAAAAAAAATATATCAAACTAAGCTCACCTCTGAGCCAGGGCGGCCATTAGAAGGCATCTCGGTCTTAGATAAGCGAAATGAGCATTAGAACACAAGTCTCGGGCCTTTTGAGCGTGTTGATAAGCTATAATCCGTAGTATTATAACGAAGGAAAATGAAAAAATACCAATATCGAATTGACCCAATTGATGAATATATAATTGAGAAGCTAGTAGATGTTGTAAAGGTGCTTCTGAGCTATCTACTTGGATACTCTGATCCAAAACATTAGCGGCCCTCAACCATCTTCCTTTGCAAAGCAGAGAAAGACCAAATTGTTGCCTGAAAATTAGATGAATAAAAATCAATTTCAGAAAACTCACCAAATATACGAATCTTCATTAGCAAACTTCATGGCTCTCTCGAAAATGACGGACATCAAGTGGTATTGCCGAATCGTGGATAGAACCTACAGTGGAAATAAATAACGTAAAGAAAAAGCTTAATTACAAACCAAAGTCAACAAATTGTAAACTGATTTTGCATTCCTCACAGATTGAAGTCTTGAAGCTGCTAAATCGTCGCTTCGGCTAAGAACTACCTCTCTAGTGGCCAGAACCTAAGAGATGGATTATTTTAATCGTAAGCACTGAACAAATATTTTGACACAATTTTATTTTGACTAATAGTTCACTAGCGAAACACATTTTCATTTTAAAGCTTTAGTTGTTTCATGATCATAAGGCTTCAACTGATCCAATTGTAGAATCGTTTGTAGTTGATTTTTCAATGTTTTATTTGCTTCCAAAAGCCGCTCATTGTCCTCTTTCATTCTTTGAGTCAATATTTCTAGTTCTTCCTCAGCGGCATTTTTATCGGCTGCGGCACGACGTTCGAGTTGTGCTATCCTAAAGGTATGATATTCCAAGAAAGAGTTGTTGCTTATAACTTCAATTGGAGTTGTGAATTTCTGGCCCTTTCTTCATCTCGCTCATAAACTGCTCTGGATTGATCATTCTCTACTGACAACGCTTTACGAAGTCCATAGCTTATTGAGCTCTCCAGTAAGGTTTGATAAGCAAGAAACGTCATCCGAACTTCATTACGAATTCGAAGGAGAAGCAAACCACGTTCGGAACATGAAACTGTTGTTTGACGGATCAACTCATCTGAAGTGACAATACGGAAATGCAATATGTGAAAGAATACCAAACAATTGGTCATATATTTGCCTTCGAATTGGACATATTCCAAAAGGCTTTGCTGCACGCGACGTAAGCTCTTGCTCAAACTTTTCTTCTAAAGCTGCCATGTCCATGCGCGTAACAGGAGCAGTAGATGTTCGTTGTTTCCAAAAGTCTTCATCAGATTTGAAGACTAAAGGAGGCAGAATACAGTCCATAATGTTTTGAAGTTGACGTTCTGTATCCAATGGAGGTAATGAACAATCATGAATAGTTGAAAAATCAACTGTCTCCGTGTCTCCTTCGACAGCCCTCTCTTTGTGATGACGTAAAAGAAACGGATTATCATCTAAACTGACGTTCGATCCATTTATATTGAAGAGAGGCATGATAAATCAAGTTAGTGAGAATAGATTGTCTCAGCTGAAACCTAATGAAACAACTAAGAGCTGACTAAAAATGGAAACAAAGCAAATCAAGCGTATTGTGAATGACTCGCTCATAGACTGTTCAGAGACCGCCCGCTAAACCGGAACTGCTGCTAATATGGCAGACATTTACGAGTATTAGTCATTGTGAGAGGAATAAAGTATGTAAATCAAATATACGATTTTCCCTGTTTGGAAGAACAAAGTATCTCACCTCACTGATTAGAAGAAGTAAAATGATTTCCTCCGTACGCGAAGCTGGTGAAAAGTAAGCACGTTGAGAACCTGCATAGAAGCTGAAAAGTTTCGGGTTTCGTTTGTCTCTTCTATCTCAGAAGCACTTCAAATTTTTAGCCTTTGTACTTAGAACCTGGCTGGAATCATTGCAATCAGCAGGAACAACACGAAACAGAAGTTCTGCTAATTGGCGAGACAACTTTTGTTGTAAACGTTCGCCAGTAGACTTATCACCCAAACATGTTATGATTCGCCGATACCTGAAAGAAATCTTCAGAAGTTGCGAGAAGATAATAAGGAAACCATTCGATTCCGTCAGGATCATTTATTTTATCAGCTGATGAGTCTTTCACTCTCAACTGAGCAACTCTTTCTAAGCAACATTCCAACAAATCTCCGATTCTCTCCTGTTTTTGTGAACGGACAGAACTTGATGAGCTGGTCAGAGGATTAATATCTAATATAGATGCGATAAAACAGGTTTTAAACTGCCATCAAAGCTTACTCTTGCTACTATTGCTCCCAATGCTTTTTTCTAATTCAGAAACATAAGAGATGGTAAGTTCGGCGGCTTTTTCAAAACAAAAATAAGATTTGTTTCCTCTAGAGATTTTGTCATCAGCTTCCACGATTTCCAGACATAGTGCTATTCAAACAGACTAAGTTGAGCAGGAGTATACTCCCATTACCTTTTATTGCATAAGCTTCAGCAATCAAGCGCAAAACACGTAGAGTGCGAAAAGGCGTGCTTCCAGAATCCATTCCAGATTGTTCAATTAAGCGTAATGACTGTAAAACGAAAAGAAATTAAGAAACTTAAAAGCCTACATACCTTATCATAATTAGCACTCGCATAGTACAATTTTGCAAGTAATAACTTAGCTTCTAAACCAACAGGAGATGTCTTGTCTTGGTTACATTTCAACAACAGTGTTTCCGCGTGCTTTAAAACATCAGCGTGATCCTTCCTTGGCCTCAAAACCTCTGAAGGAGAACTATTCGTACATTCCTGGCTCAACCTTATACCTCCTTGCTGTTCTAGGAACGTCTCCAATACTATTTCGGCTTCCAATAATTCCCCAGCTTCATCCATCCCAGATTGCTTTGAGCGAACAGAGGGAAGGAGTTCAGATAACCTCTTCCAATTTCCCTCAGTTCTAGCACGATCGACTTCCGCTTCGAGGCGTCCACCTCGCAGTTTCGTCGTCATCGTGATAAAATCTTAAAGAGCAGACTTATATTCAAAAGCAAGTGTTCATTAAGATAGTAGGCATATAACCTTAAGATCTTCATCTTCCTGGTATATAATGAAACGATGTAATTAATTCTTTATCTAAACGTCTAACAAACTAGTAACAATGAAAAATCCTTAACATATATAACGAAGGTTTAATTGATTCTCAGAAAGATCGTAGTAATAAGAACAAATGTTTTTTAAAAGTAGTCTTAAACCATTCCTTTTCCTCCTTCCATCTTCTGTAAATGCTCAACCATATAGTTTCCAGCATCAATCATACGGTTAACACAGTTCTGAAACAAAGCATGTCAGAAATTGAAAAAGAGAGATTTTCTGATTGTTCATTTCCACTAAGTGCTTCATTAGAAAGCAATCAAGAATGAATTTAGAAGAAAGCTCTGCTAATGAACTCAGCGAAGAAAAAAACAATCAATACGCAGATTTCTTCACCTGGATACACGTCTGAGTTTTCCCGTCCATCTTGCTAGGTGGGCGATAGTCTCCGAAACAAACATCCCAACAGCGACTGGTTAGGGTATGAACCTATATCAGATGAAAAATAGAAAGGTTTGATTTGTTTCGTCCTACCTGCTCAGTAAACTTTTGGCGCTGCGTTTCTGCTTGTAATTGTTGCAAGAAACGTAAAGTTTGAGGATCAGCGCCGTCCATCTATAAAGCACATTCGAGAAATTGAGAAAATTCAATAAATACAGCCCGGTATGGCTAATGAGAAACTGTGAAATCAAGAAAAAAAAACAAAAATTGGTTTAGATTTCATGGACATCTCGTTTTTAGGCTCCGCCCGATTAACTGTGCGCGTTGTAGTTACTTTGCGTATTTTTTTTCAAAAGTTATGTGGGTAGTAGAACTATTCAAAAGTATATGCAAATTGGGATAAAATTAAACACAGATTGAACTACGGCTTGATCGACTGATAGATTCTGATATCCCGAACAAATTGTTCAAAAAATCAGAATTGCCATACGTTAAGTATTTGTGGTTTCATCCCTAAAGCCTCCGGATCTGAGGCGCACTTACGAAATTGTGCGCACAATGTCAATTGCTTTACGAAGTATACAAAATTATAATAGCCTAATGTAGTTGACAATTCCTAGAAGTTTATCAATTGAATCTGATTCAAATTCACTGCAAAATTAGATAAAAATGAAATATGGTTTTCTCGAAAATGCGATTTTTCGGCAACTTTTACGAAGATTTTGAATACGCAAGATTACGTTTATTACGACATCTAGCTTTACGTACTCTTCTGCTCAATTCAATTTTTGCATAACGATATCATGAAAATTAATTTTAAATCGTAGGTTCAGTGAATAATTTGTTACCTTTTAAGACTTTCGGAAACATGATGTTCCCTGGAGGTTTAAATGGAGCCGAAGTCGAGTTGGCTGCCGCTGAAAAGGTTAAGAATGACTTTGGAACTTTCATAACTTTCGGAATCTTATTAGAAGTTGGTAAGTAGTTCAACTGAACAACTAGGTAGTAATTGCTATTTTCAGTTGCCATCGGTTGCTCATATTTCAAAGTGGACGGAATCATGATCTGATTTTTGGAAATTCATTAGTTATATTTTAGTTTTAATAAATTTGGATTTTGGTTTGTCTCTCAAAAGTCTGCATAGTGGATTACTCCGCCTGTTTTACTCTCCTCACGTTGCACGTAGGTAATTACCGTAATTGCAAATAGAGAAAGTGGACGACTTAATTCAACAGACAGATGTAATGAAGTGAAAAAGAAATTGTGACTGTAGGAACCTTTTTTTTTTTTCTGAAAAGTAGGATATTGACGCAAAAACTTTCTTTGAATGTTACTGTTTCTGAGAATCTGAAACAACTTCGTTATCTGAGGTAGATAAGAGATCCTATCTAGTATGTAACTGTTCTTGCAATGCGTTGATCCGGGGCATCGACCGTGACTATACAGTCATCACTATGTCGACTCAATCCTCTCACATCCAAAATAGAAACTATATGCGGAAATGTATTCGAGTAGTCAAGTGAAGCTCAACGCTGCTACGTTTTTAATTCAAGTTGCGCTTGAGTTTCTGCGACTTGTCTTCTATCAATTCAATCGTAAAATGCAGTATCATTGTTCTGTAACGGACTGAAGATTTTGCTCTGATAAGTTATCTGGGAAGTACTTTAGTTTAAAAAATTGCCGATTTTGCATTTTGGCGGTTCTTTTCTATGAAGTTAAGATGGATAAGTTAAAGATTTATGATTTCCTGTGTGAATATTAACTACAAACCAATACACGTATCTATGTGAATATAAATTATATATTTTTATGAAACGTTATGTCAAATTACTCAATTATTTCTTGGATATTTTGGACGTTGCCCACGTCCTCGATAGTTGTTTCTACCGTAATAGTGCTTCTTAGTCGGTACAGTATCATTATTAACAGCAGACGATGAAGAAGAAGGGGCTTCGTCTGCTTGTGCCACGTTCGTTGCTGCTACAGGAATCTCAACAAATGTCTCCGCCTGAGCATGCAATAAGAAACTTTTTGATTTTTCTCTCCGAGATATGTTACCGTCAGCACGTTCTTCTTCTTCTCCTCGTCTTCATCGATAATTCCACCGTTTTCTTTCTGTCTCATGAAAAGCTCGTTCATTTTCTTCCTTTGTTCCCTCCATCTGAAACGAATCAAATATTTAGATGTCCTAGACGTATGAGAATCTACTTGGCCCAATCAAAGTCGAAGATATGCTTGGTGGTTTCCTTTTTCGGAGATCTCTTAGGTAACTTCTGAATCTCCAGATTCAAGTTATTATCTAAGACTTCACGGCAGACTGGGCAATGTAATGTCTGTAATGGGTTAGTTTGAAGACCTGAGAGTATATAGAAATACCAGTTCAATAGTATGTTGCATAACCTTTGGTAGCTTATCCAACTCTTTTATCAAGTCTTCCTGTCGATAAACAACATACCGTCTGCAAAACAACTGTTATGAAGAGAAGTAACAAAGAAGCAAACTTGAAACAATGGTCGTGTAAATAATGATCACAGGCTGTGGTAGTTACTGGATGTAAGTTTAACAGATCCCAACAAATAAGACAAAGACTTTCGTCTGTTTGTTGATTTTCAACCAAAAACTCTACGCATAACTGGAAAGAACTATTGAGTGTAAGAGCTGTGCATATGAATATCACCTGGAGAACATCGAAAATTATATTATCTCCCCTCCTTTCAGAAACGAAGTTCTCAATATCACTCATTAAAGTCTTACAACTTCCATCTGATATTCCACGGGGGTTTGTGATTGATATAGTCGGCGAAACTTCGGGATACTGAACACAAAGAAGTTCATTGAAGGAAAAATATGAAGAAGGTCTACGTTTGTGGGTAAAATGAAGTTGACTTTGACGAAAGAGGAAGCTCCAGATTCTTCGTTCGGTTTAACTTTAACATGAAGACTAACCGGCTGATTTCTGAAATGTTCGATGATTAATGATAAACGGATACAACTCAACGGATCTTCTTGATGGTCAATTTCAAGCTCTTCTTCATAAATAGATTTGAGAGCTTCTATTTCTGAATCAATACTGTTCATACTGAAGAATTTACTTTTTAATCAGTCATATTTGTATTGATAAATATAAATTGGAAATGCCGTATGGATAATCAACGAAGATCGCCTGTCAGATTGAAAAGTTTATTTTAAACAGTGCAGATTATACAATTTCAGATTATTAACGAAAATAACAATGAGAACAGTAATGCTAAAAGCACAGTGAGATAATGAACTGGAACACATGTGGTTTCGAATAGTGGAGAATAGTAACACTATGATGAGCACAAGCAAGTTACTTGCAGAGTAAATTGAATGTGAGTTTTCATAACCAACCTCATTTTCAGATAAGTTCTACATCAGAAGGGGGAACGAATAACAATATCAATAAATTAGGGTATTAGGTCCTTTTCATTACTTGGAAAAACGTTCTAAACGAGCTTTCTTCGCTGCCTCATTCTGAAACGAATGCAAGTCAGTTAGTGATATGAGATAAGAGGTATACCTGATCATTGGTATGATTCATTCCGAATCGTGCGGCTCTCTTAGCCAAAGCATCAGGATCAACCTAAAAAATGGCCATTTAAACAGATGAGGCTGTTCTGAAACTTACAGCAGCAGCAACAGTTTTTCCTTCAGCATTTACAGGTATACCAAACCTGTAATTTAGAAACGTAGAAATATCTAACAATTGTAAAATACCGTTGAGCTCTTTTCAATAACTTTTCTTTAGTATCATCATCCATCTTGACAGCGGTATTGTTAGTTGTTCCAAATCTGAAGAAAATGCATTCAAATATTTCATTTTCAATTACCTTTCAGCGCGCTTGGCTTTAGCGTCACCGGGGCTAGCAGTATTAAGAGGTAGTCCAAAGCTGAAGATAAAAGTTGTTTCAGCTCTTTGAGACTATCAAATACCGTTCAGCTCTACGTTTTCTGGCTTCTTCTCCGGTGTTTTCTCCTCCACCAATAGGAAGTCCAAGACGTTGAGCTCTTTTCTTTTGTTCTTCCTTGGATTCTTCAGATGGAGCTTGCACTTTGGTCTGATAATAATTAGTATAAAGTTGCATTATAATCAACAAAAAACCTTTTCCTTTGTGGGTTCAGTAGAATCTGCGTCTATTTTTGCATCTGCTGAGATATCTCCCAGAACATCAGAAGCGGAATTGAGTATATCATCTAAAAAATTATAAAAATGACTAGGAGGCCATCAAACAATATTCACCTGAGGCCAAAAGAACTGAATCAATGTTGGAGTTTAAAATGGCATCTTCTTCTGCCTTAAACGGGAAGCTTGATTAGAGAAAAAATTTCAAAGAAACCTTTCTAATGCTTTCAGCTAAACGATCAACTAACACTGCTTTTTTGCCGTCAGTTGGTAAACCTTTCTTTGCTAGGGACTCTTTGAGTTGGGCCATCTAACATAAAAATGTTTTCAATGAGAGATAACCTTTTTAAACTTACGGTCATTTTTTCTAGATCTTTAACATTACTGGTACTCATTGTTTAATCCGAAGTAGCTTAACAAAAAAATATAATTTTCAATAATTAATAGAAAAAAACGTCTATTTTGAATAAAAAAAATTCGAAATTATTTTCTAAAAACAGAATGTGTATGAAGAACGCGAGATCCACAAAGAAAAGCCGTGTATACTAATAATTATATAAAAGTACGCAATATACGCAAAACTATGTCCAGGCGCGCGCAATTTAAATCACTTTTTGGCAAATAAATATAAAATGAAAAACAAAGTTGAGGGTTTTGTATATGTTTATACATTAAAAGTAGAATCCCAGAAAATTAAAAATGGACGGATAATGTGATACAAAGATGAAATGCCATCAAGAACCTATAACTCAGTTACACTTTGAAACGCTCGTTTAAAATCTGCATGTTAAATGCGTTAAATATCCAAAACCATTAACACAAGTTGTTTCTAATATCTCGATCAAGCTCTGTATGTTATTTGAAATAGTTTGACCAGATGGTAAAGCATGTGTTCTTAAACTATGATAAGGAAACCCATAAGTTCACATTGATAAGCCAGTACCGGCTTTTTGAGGTTTCTGCTCACTATTAAAGACTAAGACATTTAATGCTACTCTTCTTCAGGTATGAGAACCCTTTTCATTTGTCTGTTCGTCGTGGGTAGCGTTTTTGCTTTGAATGGAAAGGGTTTGAATAATGATGTAGTTGCGTTGTTAGGAGTTCCATATGCTAAACCGCCAGTTGACACTCTTAGATTCAGAGTAGGCTTAGTTTGCAATGTAATTAATGCCTTTCTTTCTCAAGGAATCCGTACCTGTCGAATTTGATAAAGAAAAAAGTTATAAAGTATGGAGAAATCGCTGTATCGACTTCCGTGTGGAAGAAGGACTCAGTGAAGATTGTTTATATCTGAATATGTTTGTAAAAAAAGAAAATTTCTTAAAAGGAAAGAAGGTAACCTTCTTTTTCCATTTCAAAAGTAATTAGGATATTCTTTGTTCAAGACCAAACTTTTGCTTCATATTACTAATGAAGAAGTTTCTGAGACTAAAATATCCTCCCTTGTAACCGCTGACTTGTCCGTAGCAGTTGCCAGTGCGCGTGATGGTGTTCTAGGTAAAGTCGGAAGTCAAACCTAACTCTAAGTTTCGAATTAGGTTCCTTGAATGATGCTCCTTATTCTGTCAGTGATGTCAAAGCAATTTTAAATTTTCTGTATGATACTGATGAGTTTCTTGTTGGAGATGTTACTATCTGGGCTGAGAACACATTGGCAGAGACTGTCGCTTCAGCTCTGCCACAAATAAGTAAGTGTTGAATTTCTGTTGAATAGGTTATAAGTCATTTGTTTCAGCTGTTAAGGCAAGTATTCAAATCAACGGTAATGGTGTAACCAGAACTCGATACAGAGAAGACTATGGAAAGCGAGCCATGCATGATCTTCGAACATTATCAGCGGTCAGTAAATATCATCAGCACACATGCTACAACATGGTTGCATTCCTAACAAACCCTTAATTTTATATGTTGTACTTGATCTTTTTTTTCAGTGTGATTTACCAGCAGAAGAGCAATCATTAGACTGTTTACGTACAAAATCCTTGAACGATCTCTTAGACCATGCTCACGAACTTTGGGTTGGTTCTTATACTATTCTATAAAACTTCACTGTCACATGTAGGTGTCATACAGACCATTGGGTAGTCCGTTTAGGAGTCCTCGTACATTCATCCCAGAAAATAGTGTACCTACCATCTATGGCATACATAAACATATCGGAAAAGGTTGGGAGATTCGAATATCAAACTAATCTCTCCTATTTTAGAATATCTTTATGAGCCTAGAGATTTCACTGAGCAATTTGATTACAATATTTTCAAGGAGTTTTTAGCTAACTTAATCCCTGATTCACTTTTCAAGTATGAGTACCAATTACTTTGTGACCTCTAATCGTTTAAATTGAAGAAACGCACCACTTGTCAGAAGGATGATTTTGCATCAGTATGTATATTCAACTGGAGACAAGAAAGATACCTATCATCTGTTCCAGCAAATGGAAAAAGTTTGTTAATTGATAACTTCTCAAATCATATTTGTGGTTTTCAGATTTTATTCGATAAAGACTATCATATTCCAACAGAGATGCTTATTCGCCATTTGCGAGAGTATAAGGTTAACAGTTATGGCATCACATGAGCTGAAGCTTTATTTTTCTTAGAACAAAGTATGGCTCATGGAATATGGTGTTGATACTCCGCTGAAATCTTGTGTTCAAGATGGAACACCAGATACACTTGATGCTTTCTGCAAGCGACTTCTTCAGTTTTTCACTCGTTTTGCTGAAAAAGAGTTCTGTTGACATCATCAATATCTTGAACGAACATTCATTCAGTGCTCCAACAGAATATTCTTGCGATCCCAAGAATCCAAATTTCCCACAAATGGATACATCCAAAAGACCATATTACATCATTCTACCTGTATGTTTAATTATAACTAATGGCTAGGAGCTAAAAACTAATTAAGGAGAGTGGTATTGCTGACTGGAGATATAATTACTACCTGCCAGAATACGAATTGTGGATGCATATGGTTACAGAAATTTCTATTGAAAGAACAAAAAAAACCTCTTGTACTTCAGGTTCCAATGCTTGACCAATTGGATTTGGTTGGTTTTCGACCGCCACAGTTCGAAGAAGCCAAGCAAACTGAGCCTTTGCAAGTAGAAGATGATGTGCAGGTAGACTATTCCATCATACACATTCAGATATCTTCGACTTTAGGGCTGGCATCAGGAAGAGGCGAAGAAAGGTGAAAAGCTTCACCAAGAGAAAGTCGAATTGTAGAAAGATGGAGATTGTAGAATTTTATTTAAAAAAAACAAAACTATTAATGAAAATATACAGAACACTTGAGTGTTTATCAAAATGAATATCAAGAGTATTGAAGAACTATACATTATAACACAATAAACCAGATCGACGCTTGAACCGTAGGAAAGCAGTTCCTCTACTGTAAGAAAGTTTCTCTAGGAGTCTTTAATGAATGAAATTCTCCATTTCTTCTTTCGTTCCCTGCTTTTGTCACGAAGAGCACTTTTAGGTAGCTTAGGTTCCTCCTTTGCAACAGCTATAGAAGAACCTGATGCGGACGTTGCGACTATGTTATCGTTCAGCCGAAATGATGCCAATGATCTGAAGATTGTTTTTCGTCAAACACATCACTGAAAGCATTGCAAACCTCGATGTATCATCAACTCTCGATTCATCTATCATGTTAAGAGATCGTAAGGAGCGAGTGTCAGTGCAACCCTATAAAAAGAAAAAAACTTTCAATCGAGCTTTATGCTTATAGCTTACGTTCGTAACGTTCATGTTGAGAGATCGCAATGAATGTCTATCCGACTCATTCATTTTGGTCATCATTTCCTTACAAAATCGAACAATTAATTTGATCTTTCTCTATACGCACAAATACCTCATAAAGCTCATTCCAAACGACATCCGCTACTTTGACGCCGGCAATTGGTTCAATAACAGAGACTGAAGCTTTTCCTCGAATCTTCAAAAGAGAAAGTTATCTTTCCATCTGTGTACACATAGACACACACACACGCTCATAAGCTTCTCTAGCATAACGTTTTATTTTGAAAAACACTTAGAAATTACAAGAAAAAAAGTTTTTCAATGCTTGAATCTCCTATTCCCACGTTTAAAGTTTATTTTGAAAATCTCTGTCGTCTTTTTGTGTCTCATATCTATTGTGAAGTCGGGGTGCTTATAAGACAGTGCCACTTACAAATGGCTCCCGTGGGGACAAGGGGAATAGGACAAATCTGCCTATTCCCATCTATTTTGCGTCAATTTGTCAACTAAGGTCACATAGATTGGACCACTCAAGAGTGTTAAATGTGCATTCGACTTTAGTTTTTACAATCACAATCACTCAGACTCCATTTTGCTTAAAACTAAAACTAAAAACTGGGTGAGCGAACCTTGGTCTCCAAATCAATCATCTGTTGAAAAAAGCCAATATTCGGACAAATTATGTTTCGACAAAGTTGAACATGTTTGTAAGCATCATGTAAACTCATTCTGAACCATATATATATATATAGAATGTACTACAGTTCATATAGAAGTATCTATCCTCACTTCTCTATGCACATCAGATATGCTATGGCAAATGTGGCTGAACGTGATATTCCCATGGCACATAATAGAAGACATCTTCCTGCAGTTTTACGCGCATCATCTATTTCCTAATATATTAATGATGATTAATAAACAAGTTTAAATCTTGTACCTTAAACACTGTTGTCCAGAATGGTCCCAATTCTGTTCCCTCTTCATCCATCAATGGTATGTGCACTACACGCATGTGTGGAGGAGAAGAAAGACGAAAACCAGGAATGAGGTTTATAGTGCAGCTGAATTTGGCTGAAACAAAAAAATTAATAATTAATAATAAAAAATATTATTATAAAAAAATAAACAAAATATGACAATTCTATTATACATTCCAATGAACTTAAGTAAGTGAGCTTGATCGGAAATGGTTGACGGATTTCCGCTTTTCCTGCTTATATACAACTTGCTTCATATCGAATTCAAACTCCTTCTAAGATACGTTTCTGTTTCGCTTACTCATAACCTATTGTATTGAATGTTTTCTTTTTCTAATTATTTCTTATTTCAACCTTATTCCATGTTCGTAAACAAAAAAAAAGAGAGAAGGAAGGAGTAAAACAGGAATTTCAACTTCTATCAAACTAAAATCTCATTCGTGCACGTTCATTTTTAAAGTTTGGTCTTGTATTTCAATCTTTATACCTATATAGCATAGCCATTTTGTATTAATAGTTATAAACTTACAGAGAACTCGAGGAGATAAGCCTGCCAATCCTCCAACATACAGAAAAGGACGAATTTGTGAGCATTGTCTTGATTCTTTATGAATAACACGACGTGATGTCATTTTAGAAATAAAGATGACAACACCAAATTCCGTATGTTTGAAGTCTCACTTCCGTTTCTTTCTTCTGATCCTGGTCTCACTGTTGATTGGCAGCTCTTATGCTCTCAAATGCTATGCTTGCACCTTCTCCTACAATGAAATCTATGACTTAGATCATAAGTACGTTATGCATTTTCAATTTTCTTATTAAATGAAACAATATAACAAAAAGGATTTTTCATATAAAGAAAAAAAAAGAGAAAAGAAAAGATAAAGACGAAGAGAAGTTGTTTTAGAGATGACGGTTGGTGCACGAACGAGTCACTGGTTTTATTCGACTCAGAAGAGACTTCGAAAACGTGTGCCCCATGGGAAAAGTTCTGTGTGGTACGTGATAGGCAAAAGACTGAAACTGGGCGTGCCTATTTTTTAAAAATTATCTTCTTTAATACACCGTATTAACAAGATATAATATGATTTTGATATAGTTCATGATTAAGATTGAGTTATTCAGACAGCCGTGACTACCATCAACACCGTCTTCACCTCAGTTAGTAGAGGATGTGGTGAGCGATGTAGTGAGCTATGTGAATCAGACGGATATGGACATAATCAGGTAAGAATACGAAGCAGCATCAGCTTAACCACTCTTTTACAAGGTCAATTGTGACGATTGCTGTGAAGCTGACTTCTGCAATGCAAATTTTTCCGTTCAATACTATCAAGAATTAATGGCTAGGTATGATGGCAGTCAGCATTGAAATCATTAAAAATTCATTTCAAGACAATACACATCATGGATTACGCCGCTGCCTGGTGAATTAGCATGGAATAGAAAATCAGGACTACGATTCCCATATTAGGAGTGTATGCACTATAGAAAAACAACATAAAAAATAATGAATATATAAAGAAAACAACTAAACAAACAGAACCTGGTGCTCTTTTGCCTTGACTTTAAGCTCAACTCGCAGTCTTTACTAACTTCCTATATGTGACTGAGAAGTGCCATTCATTTCTCCCCTTTGTTAAATACTAGCTTAAGATCGCAGCCTAATGGTGACAGCTAAAGTCAAAGAAGAAATTTTGGTTATTCAACTTTCTCACAACTGCAATTTTCTATTCTTTTCAATATTCAAATGAACTTTTACTTTTATTTATTTATCAAACATTGGTCATCAGTAGGTAATGCTGTTTCCAAGAAAAACATTGAAGGAACACCTATCGGTTTGACGATTTTTTAACGATCGACAATGAAGCTTCAGTACTATGGAACACATCAAAAAGAATTAATGGGACATTAAGCTTATATGTTATGTCAATCTCGTCAGTTGATTTTCTGAGCGGAGGGTTTTTTTTTCTGGCGGATAACTACCTCATATATTCGAGTTGATGGAAAGTTCAATGAGCATGCTGGTATAGAAGTGAATGAGCAGTGTATAACGCAACAAAAAAAAATAGCAGAGCAAGTTGTATTAGATTGCAAATCAATAAAGCTCGCATGATCAAGTGCTTAGGTTGAGATTATTGATTACAATGAACTAACATCGGAAGAAGACCATTGTCTCATCAATTGCTATGCAGTAACGCACTATATTCATTGAATTCATAGAATCCGACAAATCTGATAATAAGATCACATACTCGACATCATTTGGGAATAACATGAGTAAGCGAAATGAGGAAATAACATCATTTCTTCGCATTTCTTGATTGAGAAGAGATGCGAATCTATTTTATATGTATAAATACATATAACTATATGTAATGAAATTGAAGTATAAAAAAACAAAGAGAGTGGAAACACTTCATTCATATCGTCTTCTCAAATTTCTTACGACTAATGCTCGTAAAAAGCTGCAATTGCTATTTCATCACTTGTTGTTGGCAATATTCAACAATGCAAAAAATTTTGTGTCAAATAATGTTAAGTTAATTCACTTAAGGGTCGTAGGCTTTGCAATATCTATAAGCTTCAATTTTAGATCGGCATAAAATGGCTTGAGAGCAGAAAACTATCATGTCCATCTCAAATGGCAAGTTCTCATCAGACTGAAAGGAGTGAATGAAAAGCCTCACGCAAAAAAGATGGAAGACAGCACACCCCAAAGCTAGTTATCGGGGTTTCAGATCAACTGAACAAGAGCACATCCAAACAGAGTAGTTAGCCATTAATAGGAAAAGAAAAATGTGAAACGAGAAGACGAGCATGGCTAGACAAGTGAACAAGCATATGAAATAAGTTCACTCTGCAAGCTAGTAAGTACTGCTTTAGAAAAAACAATTGAGCTTTAACAATCAAACAACAAGTAAGTCAAACTGGCAGTTAAAATTACGGCTATACTAACAGATCTGCCTTTAAGACATGAATCTCGACAAGAATCATGTATGAGTAACATGATTCTTTTATGCTCACCTTAACACATTCGGAATTTAGCCGCAATGTATTGAGAAAAACAAACTGAACTTGTTTTTTCCCACTCAAAACTCTTTTCTATTTCTTTTAGCTCTTATAACTGCCAAAACGCCAGGGTCTAAGATGACGAATATGAGTGTTAAGCCAAACTAGACGTTCTGGAGTCAAAGCAAAATGTCAACTCCCAGAGGATAATGCACAAACTAACAGCTAGCGCTAACTTTGATATCATTTAAAAAAACAATAAGCCTTTTCATCCAAGAGCTTAGGTGGGATTCTTTAATCTTAAAACGAATTAAAACCACTCACCTCGCAAGAATTTGCTTTCTCATCTTTGATTTGTAACTAAACTTTGCAGTGGGAAACAACCAATCATCTCAATTGTGTAATCAAAATGAGTTCAACAGGTTGTTTCACGTGTTCACGCAATCACACGAGTATGCTAATGATCTTTCCAGCACAATATGCTAATTAACCATTTATTTTTCAATACAAATGAAAGTCATCAATACGAGATTAGTAAAAACTATGTCGCGGTGCAAAAAAAACCTCATCAGCCTGTGGGCACTCCATGCAGTAGGAGTACTTGTATCCTGAAAACGCTTCTTGTTGTAGCTATTTGAATATTTTGACGATTTCTATGAAATTTTTATATTAAAACTGAAAATTAAACACAACATGAAAAATTAAAATAAAAAACAAGCCAACCATGCCCACTTTAATTTCTTGCGAGCAAAGTGGAATTAACTAATCTTTGCTCACTGTTTCGAATGCAGGATTACAATTTATTTCCGTTTTGTCACATAGATTTAGTGCTCGCGTTCTTCTTGTTTGATGAAAATTTAATTCGTTTCGGTAAGTATAACTAATATTTTTAAAGTTATGGATCTATTCATATTTGTAATGAAAACACAATTCAGTATGTTGCTTGTGTTTTTCAATATCTGCTTGGAGGAGCAATCAATATAGTTCATGAAAAGTGAGAAAATATTTCAAATTAAGTCTCAACATTGTTTAGTAATTAGTTTTTGATAATTGGTTTTGTAATCAATATTTATTGATTTGAAGTAGTAGATCATCAGGCGGTTCCCCACGTTTCTCACGTGCGCTTTGGACCCAAACTACTCCTGTAGTTTGATTTTGTTTTTATTTTCCTAAAATTGTGGTAATGGGAAAGGGGAGTAGATGGAAAGAAAGATCAAAAATGTAAGTTTCGAGCGGTATGGAGAGGAAGGAGAGATCTTCCCGCTAGAGAAGTCTCAGCCCGACTTTAACTGGTACTATTATCCTTTTTGGACTAAAATTCTATATTTCTACTGTCAATAGACCAGCTCATTTTTAGTCAATTAGTTTAATTTTATTTTGTAAAGATTTGTAATAAACTCGTGTAAATTTGAGACACATACTAGTAGAAAGGTGGATACTAGGTTAACAATTTTTATTTTTAGTGCCGTTTCCGACGACTTAGAGACTCGTCATGTCGTTGTGGAGTTTCTTTCGACTGGAGTACAAGAAATTCAGAGAAAGTTATTGCGTCCGACAGGTTCGGCTACCAAAGACCTTATTTTGAGTGTTGTTTTAAAAAAGTGTCTTTTAGACCCAGGAAATATGGAGCCGATTATCTCCGTGCCCGCGATCAACGAGGTTGTTACTTTTCCATTTTTTAAAAAATTAATTAAAGAGCTGTATGCAGCATAATATAAATTAAATTTGATGTCGAATAATAATTTGTTAAGGGGTCATCTTTTCGGAAAATTTTGAAACGGCTTTCAAATTTAGTGAAAATTGCATGCCTCCTCGCTGACATGGCTAAAGCAGGTAATTTTTTCTTCATCATTCATGATAGAATTTCAAGTTGTTCTTATATTTAACTTTCTGAATACTGTTTAATTTGTTTTCAGGTCCACTGGCCAACAATGACAAGGAGGAAGCCTTGGAGCAGGTGAGAAGCACGCTCCGTGATATTGTTAATAATATCTCACCTGCAACTTCTATGTATGATTCTTCAACCGATTGAAAATCAGATAATTCTTATAAAAAAAATAAAACGTTATAAATTCTTTTTTTCAAATTTCATTACAACGATAACTGTATATGTAAATCAAAAAGAAATAATAAGAAATTATGATTATATGTATGAGTAAAAATGAACATTGCGCGCACAGTCTAATGGGCGGAGCCTCGCAAATGGGGGGTTAAGTAGAACAGAGCCCGTAAAACACACATACAATGACATTTTATTATTCTTATGACTGGCAGCCGAAATTAACTGTAAAGCACATACACAATTACATTTTATTACTCTTATGAAATTCTAAAAGAAACAAAAGACCATGTCATGGTCTTTTGTTTCTTGTAGTACCTTATAAGAATAATCTCATATGAATAATAAAAAGTTTAACTATGGAACTGGGTATGCTTTAATTCATTTGCTTCATTGTATATACTGCTGCTTTGAGTGTTTCCAGCACCACATGTACAAGGTGAATCCTTCTTAGACAGACCTGAAGACAACCCAAAAGAGTTATGGACTTATCAAAAATCAGATAATTGGGGATGTAAGTGTTTTGATACACTTTGTCATTTGATAGCGTCTGTCAGCTTATAAAGTTAGTGGGTGTGATCCAGCTCCTAATGATGCTAAATACTCATTCCCCATCACTTCTATGCCAAAGACTGTTATGAGAACCATATTCATGTTTTTAAAGTTGACATAAGTCGAAAAGGAATTCACTAATGACGGAATATTTCAGATTAGTGGATTGTTATAGCTTTTTAAAAGCGGTTCCTCATCCCATGATAGAAGAGTTACTAGTGGAAAAAAAAGAAATTCTTTATAAAGCTTTAACTTTTTCTGATAATTTCTATTGGTGAGTCATTTTCAGCTATCATTAACTCATATTTGATATCTGCAGGTCACGTGATGTTGGTAAGTATGAGTGGGATCGTATTGCTAATCGAGTTGGGCATAGCATGACTTATTTACCTTCTGAAAATGCCGTGTAAAGTCCCTTCTTCAGTTCGTTATAATCGGAAAGCTTAGGTACATTTTTGGTGGGAGAAATATAGATGAAGAGAACCGGCCTGGGCTTGATAATACGTTCAACGATATGTGGAAGCTTGACTTGGTATTTTTATCTGGGTTTGATTTTATGTAAGCTAAATATTGTATAGGCAACTATGAACTGTAGAAAAATCTTCCCCTCAATACCAGATGACCCTCCTCTTAAGAAGTATCAAGCTGTTATGTTGGCTTACAATGTGCGTTGTACTATCATTCTTATTTCTTAAACTTGAACTATTCAGAAATCTCTACTTCTACACGGAGGAAGACCAGTAAGGAAGCGAACAGATTTTTGTTCAAATGAAATGCATCAGTTTAATCCTCTTAATAATACTTGGAATAAGGTACTAAATTGTGGTTTTGGTCAAGTATGATTCATACCTTTAAGTTTACCACATGGAATGTGGGGCCGCGATTGTCTGATCATTGCGGAGTCATTCAATCCAATAATCTTATTTTATACGGCGGCTACACAGAGAATCAAGACGTGTCAACATGCTTTCAGTAAGTTTGACCAAATATTTAGAACATTGATTTATGCTTTGATAGTATTCTTAATTTCAAAAGTGAACTCTGGTGCTCAGCAACATTGAGAAATGTTCCCACGTACGTTATATAACTGCTCGGTGCATCAATATTCTGACGTCTGTTTTTCAGGCATTTTACTAGCGCCGATTATAGTCGTCTACAGTTCAGTCCACACCTCTTTCCGCCGTAAAAAATAATGCGAAGTAATAGTTTTTACGATGAACGATTTAAGATATCAACCAGGGACTTATTCCTTAATTTCCCTCAAACCCGGTTTTCTGTTGCTTTTTGGTGAACCAGACCTGCAGTACCTTTCTTACAATTTCGCCCTCTTGATTGAGTTTCCCTCGTACGAGCCTTGTACTATACCATGGAGTTGGAGAGTCATACAGGTGCAAAAAGATCTAATGAACCCCCAAATGAAGTTTTTATTAGATCACTGGGAAGTTCGAAGATTTCACGTTTGACAGTCCAGGAATTCTACCATTTCTATCCGGCAATACTCGTCATCCGAAGGTAACCATCATACTATCTCAACAGAGTTTCTCTCGATTGAAGGTTGTTGCTATTCAAAGCAAAACGGCAGTTAAGTTAGTTAGTCTAGGTTTACCGAGGAACCCTTCGAAAGTAAAGGTTGTTGAAGTAACAGTGCTCGATAGGTTGTTGAAGTAACAGTGCTCTTTTCAGGATGTGTATTACGAGGTTGCAGAAGTATCCAAAAGGAAACACAGTCGTATACAGAACTTTCTTATGTAATAACAAAACAATATGCATTCTTATAATATTTTTTAGAAGTTTGAGCGAAAAGATGCTGCGAGATCTTATGGAAGTATATAGTTCGTCTAAGAGGAGGAGTGTGAGTTCTAAGTTGTTGACATCACAGCCTACATATGCTTTCAGCCGCATTTCTACTTCGCTTTTGACGGTATTTCCTTGAAGTTTAAAAACTTTCTCGTCAATATTGAAAAATTGTAAAACACTGAAAACAAACTACTTATATCCGTTGAATCCTAGGAAAAGAACTAGGAAGTTCCCCATCTACGATGTACAAATACGATTGGATCTGCTGCATCAAACTAAGACTGGGGTTGCATTTGATTTGGTTGATCTTTACGAAATAAGACGAATGATCAGTGAACAAGCCGAAAGATTACGTGGGAATTTCCAAAAAGATACTGAAATTTATTGTTTGTTTTGAGATTTGAATAGGCAACGAGGCTACTGCATGCAAGCTGATCCTGGATTTTACGGTACTGCAAAACTCGTCACCTATTCGGCAATAATTGATACTTCTGGCGATTTCCAAAATTTTTTTGAAATTAAGTGAGTAATAACTGAGACACAAAGGTTTCAAAAACAAATTTCAGTTTAAAAGAGGGAGAGCCTGACTCACTTAGTTCTCCGGCACTGTTTCGATACGAAATGTGTCCTACTGAGTTCGACATTGTAGTTCTAGGAGGTTCACACTTCAAGGAAAAATTAAATGAATCGGGATTACCTGTAACAGGTTATATTTATACAATGACTCCAAGTTTCCCAAGATGCGTCAAACCTGCTGGATCAGAATTCATTTGACTTATTTTCTCATATATTACTTACTTCGTGAGTGTTAAACAGATTTTACTTTTATTGAGATGTAATAATAGCTAATAAAGATTTTTTTTTTGCTCTTCTCAGTTGTTTAAAGGATTTTTGTTTCTTATATATTCTCCTATTGATCTTCCTACTACTATTAAATTCTATAGTTTCAGGTTTTAACATCTTATTCAAAGATGGTAAGTATTTTTGACCTTCTTCTGAACATCTTTTTCCTTAGAGTGCTAGTCTTCAAATTTGTGCGATCCCTTCTGAACTGAAGGAACGCCTGAAGGAGTTCCGTTTCTCCAAGAGCCAGGTTATGAACGCTTTAATAGGTACAGAAAAACGACGTGTATGATTCAACACACCTTTTTCTAGTGAAAATTGATAAGGAGAGTCAGCAGATGGTCTTAGAAGAACATCTTGAAGTAATAAAGAATAATGGTTGATAAAGCCGTGTTTGCTTTTTAGGACTGTGAACTGGATGATATTACTAACGAATTACCTCAGCAACAGCCTCGTTACCTTCTTCTTAGTTTTGCTAGGAAGCACTCCGATGGACGTGTCTCTTATCCCATGTGCTTGATTTTCTATAGCCCCCCTGGTGATTTCTGGGTTTTGTTAATTTAGATTATGGATTTCTCTAGGCTGTAGTCCGGATCAACAGATGCTATACGCAGGAAGCCGAAATACGTTAGTCCAAGAATGTGAATTAACGAAGGTTTTTATTAATGCTCTAAGCTCCTAGTGACTATTGATTATAGAATTTCGAAATCCGTGATATCGAAGAATTAACTCAGGAGTATATCGATTCTAAAATTTGATAGAAGTTTTATTATTTTCCAGACATGTATATCTATGTATGGTGGGTGTTCGAGGGTTTCCATAAATGTCACTTATAATGTCTACATAACGAACGAAAAAAACATTAAAAGAAAAAAAAAGAGCGCTCATCGTCATGATATGAAAATCTAACAAAAAAAAAAGAAAAACAGTAATGATATGACCGGAGTTCAAAGTATCATTAGGTCACATTCTTTCCCTTCAGAGAGATTAGTTCTTCTTTCAATTCTATGACTTGCTTCCGAATTCTACAGTATCTTCGGAAGTATAGATCTGAAAATGTTTTCTACTTTTTGATCTCTTGAAAACACATACTCCTTCTCTTCTTCTCAGCTCTCAACTCCAGCTTCAAGTTGTCTTGTTCAGAACGTTTCAGTTGCAATCTCACAGCTTCAATGTGATCTGAATCAACTGTTTAGGTTTTAAGAACTAGATGATGCTCTCAACCTTTCTCTTTATTCAACGCTTCTCTCTGCTGTTTGAAATGTTCGGAAGCCATGTCAATAAGGCTAATTATCTTGTTGAAAGCGGGATCAGATGGAGGCGAGTTTTGGCTGTTCTCCGAAGAACTGCTCCGATCAGAGAAAACATTTTGATTAGGCGATAACTAAAAAGTCACGTCACAAGAATTTCATTTGTTACACTTACACTTCTATCAATCTTGCTCATATTTTCAAGAGCATCACTATCTCCACCTTCAGAGTTCGAGATAGTAGAAGTGTTCGCTTTCGAAAGATTAGTAGAGCTGCCTCCTTCAGCATCGATACAGTTCAACTGGCCAGTCATGAGTAGGTCTGTCCGATCGGGCTCGTTTCGGCTGTAAAATGAAAAGCAATGAGGATGCTCTGCTAAAATTCCGATGAAGTTATGTGAAAGAAACTCGTTTTATAAATGAGCACACTACCCTCAGTTTTCTGCTAATGACTGATTATCAGCTTTATCTTAGCTAATCTTCTCTTCACCGTATTTTTCGAAAAATATCGAATAGAACGAATGATAACCAACTCATTCAATTTATTGTAAGTGAGTGAATTTGCATTTTGCGGATATAGGAAGTTAGAGGATGAGAAACGATTTACTTGATTTTTCCGCACCTCTCCATCTTAATCCAAAGCATGGGAAGAGATAGAATCAAAATATCCATCATTTTCTTATCACAACTTACGAAAACTAAATTCCGTTTTGGTCTTGCTCGCTATTTTCTTTATTGTACCTCAATATCTAATCGCAAATTGAAATTATGAAAATTACATAGATTCACTGGTGGATTAGCCTGTATAAGCTTATCCTAATCTTCTCTTCTACGAGGTCCGCCGTCAAGTAATATAGAAATAAATCAAACAAAAGGTAATCAACTACCAGCTTTTGGGATATTTCATAGTCTCTCCTACGTCTCTTTATCTCTATATATATACAACATACGTCGATAAGACTGAATATATATTTATATATATATATATATATATATGTAAGCAGCACAAACCAGTCTTATAGAGTACTTGGGCTTGTTTAGAAGAATAAAAAGATACATACCACGTAGTCGGCTCACTGCCCTCATCTTCGTCATCGTCCTGATCATCTTCTTCAGCCATCCCATTGCGGGATATCACGTGCACACGACGATTTCTAATCTCATCAGAGCTTCTACTTCCGTAGGATGTGTTTGGTTGCGATATCTCTGGCATGTGATGCTGACACTGCGACTTTTTCGGTTCGGGTAATTGTTCCTGCGGTTGTTGCTGCTGAGATAGAGCAAGCATATGTTGAAGAAGAAGTTGTTGAGCTGTAAGTTGGGGAAGAAAATGACCTAACATGAATGGGGTGGTCATTGCACTTGAAGAAGCTACACTGCTGTCATCTGAGAATGTACAATTTTGAAAACAAACAACAACCCAACACACCTGACGAATCGAGTTTATTTTTCTTATTTTGCTGTAAAGACCAGTCATCAGGTTGTATGGACATACGTTTCGCAGGCCTTCCTGGTCTGGTACTTAAAACGTTGGTTACGACACTTTTTGATATAAGTTTCTTACCATGTATTCGTGCAATCGTCATAGAGCTTATCGCAATCGATCATATCTATCAGCTTGCATCGATTTACTCCAGGTTGAATAGCTCCAAATCCTCTTAAGGCTCTAACCTGTATGTACAAAATGCTGTAATGAAAGAACGAACAGGAGAGTGTTAACCTGTTCAACATTACAAATCAGAGGCGAAATATCAAGCCTTCTGAGTTTCGTATAAACTGTGTGTAGACCACCGACCATTGTTTTTAAAAACAATTCATATACCTTTAGAGGGAAAGTTCATATTCTTGTTGATAAGCAAACATACCTGTGGAAGACAGATCATCTGTTTTCCATCAATCTCAAAGCCAGCAACTTTTTCCCCACGATAATCGAAAACCTTGGCATTGACAGATTCCGATGATGTCGTAGTGAATGATGCGAACTCGGTACATGTACTTGTGTCGGAGCCACCTAAAAAACGAAGAGATGAATTATAACAAGCAAAACAAACGGAATGTAACGTTATCTATGGATGATTGAATAGAATCATTTACCTTGTTTCTCCATTTTTTCGTATTTCAGAAAAAAATAGAAGAAAAATTAGAAAAAAAGATAGCTTGAAGAGTAAAAGTGAAAGTAGTCACTGCTACAAATTGTATATTTCCTCCCAAAAACACGAAGTTATACAATAATTGAGAAGCAAATGCATATTAAATAGATGAAACTCGAACTGATTTCAAAGAAATGAATCTCCTTCTCTGTTTTAGCTTAACTGAGTATATCTATTATCCTTGTATGTGTTTGCCCATTTCTCAATCTGTTTTTATTCTCCTCAACACTTATTGCTTTCGCATATCCATCTCTCGCATTCGGTGATTATCACATCTGTCCCCTCTCTCATATTCCATAAATGTAATGCATGCATTCTCCACTCGAAAATCTTCGAAACACTGGACAGCACTGCATGATAATCCTAGACAATTCGAGAGCACAATAAATGGTTACAATAAAACTCATTTTCAACAAGGGTTAGTACCGAAGTTACAGAGAGACAGTTACACATTGGTGGTATAAGCTTCAAACTCATTCATTTAGCGCATTTAAACTCAATTTATTGCAATCCTAATCCAAACTTTTTGGAAAACATAGAAAACTTGCAGAAAACAGAATTTCACATCATCTAAGGATTACGACAACAGTATCTTATGTTGAGCAATTTTGAAAAAGAAAATGTCAAAAATGGGTAAACTAGAAGTGGTGAGCGGTAAGTGGTTACGAACCTGAGTTGTCCGCATCGTTCACCATATTCATAATAGAGTCAGTATCGAAGATGAGTAGTTTGTCGGGTTGAAACCGTGAACGAAGTTCCGTCATGCTGCGTATTGCACCCAAGCCATCCATAGCGTGAAGCGTGTAGCTAACGGAAAAAGGAATGATATCAATTGAGAATGGTCACAATGATTAGAGCATTTCAACGAGAGGGGAATCTATCAGTTGAACTTGGTTGTGAGAAAAACGAAAAATGATCAGAAAAACAAGAAAAAAAACTTTCTTGAGGCATGATTCAAATGCTTAGAGACGGTAAGGGGTAGTGAACGGAAAACAAATTCATTTGCTACATTGAGTAGTAGAATCATCAAAATAGTCAAAAGAAAAGACTCGTTAGATGGAATGGCAAGATATCACTATTTGAACATGAATGAATGGCTAATGTGAGAGAATGAGAGAAAGAAAATGAAATCGAAAAGTACCTGGAATGATTGAAAGAGTAGACGAACACTCAAAAGTTGAATTGAAAAAGAAAAGCAGCACGTTAAGGCAGCGACTACGTCTTTCATATACAGAAATAGGAAAGTAAAAGAGGAGAAAGAGAAAGCAATATGAAGAATCAGATAAACCAGAAGGGGACTTTTTAGATTTGCATTTGATTAAAACAAAACGACAACCGCTAATAGCTAGGAATGGTATTCAAAATCATAGATAGATTAAGAGTGTTTACGATCCATCTATGGTGGGGCTGTGCTCGAATTCAGATGATTACTTTTTTCGTAGCAGAAGATTATCGGTTATAACATACGATAAGTAGAAATAGAGAAGTAGAATCATCAAAAAGCAATCAACTGATTTGAAAACTATTTTACCAATCAATCTATTTGAGAGAACTGTTAGCTTATCAATAAATAAATAAAAATTATCAAAAATATCTGAACTCAATTTAAATGATAAGAGAGATGTACAAAATAAAAAGGCTTTGTGCTAGCCGAAATTCTCACTTTCAAATTGAAAAACTTCTTTGAGCGAACAGAGAAATAAGTAACTGAACAATGAAAACAATAGAGTATCACCCCCTCAAAGGAACAAGCATTTGACTCTTCTCTAAAAGTCGTTCACTGATCTAGATAAGCATCATTTATTGCATTTCACTGTCGCCAGATACAAGCCTTGTAAGCGAGAGGTATAGTGCTATAGAACCAGAGAACAGTTACTTCAGCTATCTAAATTCTGGATTGCTCATTCGTAAATAATCTTTTCCGTTTCATGACGTTCTTTTTCATCCATTACACCCGTTCTTATGGCTTATGAAGACTGATAACTCTGTTTTTTTTCAATTTTGTCGTCTTGCAACCGTTGCAATTATGCTTGATAAAAAAATGAGTTTCTCGAAGAACAAATGAGAATATACTACCGATCGAACTATTTAACTACAATGATGAAGAATAATAAGAATGACTTACCTATCTTAAGCGATCCTAAACAACTGAATACTTGTTGCATCGTTTCTACCTTAATCGACACTTCAACTGCACAAAGGCCAAGTTTATTCATGAACAATCATGGCGATTAAAATGAGCTCTTAGTTCTTATCTTAAAAATCTGCGTATATTTATGTTACCTTAGTTCACATTAGTCACCTTCTTCACCATAATCAGATGGTGATTCCCCATACTGAACTGGCTTCACCACTACAATCAGAACTACGTACTCGCATGGTGGAAGGTTACAATTGGTTTTCGCCTACCTTATATCAGCATATACTCCTAATGAAATATTGTGTACTTCTCCTGTGGTATCAGCATCTGAACATTAACTTATAACTTCGAACAAAGTTTATGCCCTACCTCCCGTTTCTTACATCGCTCAAAATGTATGGAACACTGCAGCCCTGAAAATAGAAAGACACGTACCTGGCACTTAGAAGAAGGGCTAACTCCGGCCAACTCGGGACCAGTAGCTGTAACAATTGAATTCTTGAACGAAAAGACTTGAATACTTACATTTACTCTTAGACGC